GTCCTGCAATTTGCTGGATGGGATATCAGTTCCATGATACACTTAGAGATATAAAATGTGCAAATATTAAACACATTTTTTTTTTCAGAGACGTACCACCAGGAAAGCATATATTAATGAATTGTAATTAAAAAGTTTTATTGATAATATATTATAAATCTGTGTGTATTTGTAATGTGTATGTGTTTTTTTTTTTTGTTTTTTTTTTTTTGACCTAATTTATCTAATGTTTAAGGTCTAAAGATACACTATAATGTACTTTTTTTTGTTCTCTTTTTTTTTTATTTCTTCTTCTTTCTTTGGTAAATGTACATGTTCTGAGAGTATGGAGACTATATGTTGTGCCTTCGTACCTTCTTTTAAAAATGCTCAAATAAAATTAACGCTAACTCTAAGAATGATATAGATAAAGCTGATATCCTGGTTTAAAAGATGCATCAAGAATCTCAGACTTCCGGTCATTGCGCAATTCATACTAGGAAGGATTTTCCGAAAAAGTGAGCATCAAACCTCCATGTTTGTTTTCCCATTGGGATGCGTCTATTGACAAAGCCAGTCCTTTCTAGTCTTTTGAACCATATCACTTTTGTTTCTGGTTCTGATATTGTCATATTTTAGTTTTGGGATTTGGACATCGCAATTGTGCGGTTGTGGAATGTCCTAACACGGGAAAACGGCTCGAGAGATGGGCTTCAAAGCAAAATCCCGATCCCTCACTCCACCTTAGTTGCAAATTTAAAAAGTCAACGCCAAAGTGAAAGGCACCAACTGTTCGCCATAAACACCTTCCACTGCAAAGTGACCAAGACGTGATGTTGCTGTAAAACCACAAGAACAAGAAAGTGCAGCTCAGTCTGTTTGTCTTCTGCACCTCTCACTTAACAAACGGGATCTGCTTTGTTGTCGCTCCACATACAAAATGTTCTCTGCAAACTCGGGATGATTTAGTCAGTCAAAGTTTACCTTTTTGGTCCTTCCTGTGGATCAATCCTGCCCATCGCCTTCACCTTTCACTATTTTTCAATTCCGTTGGGAAGGGAAACAGTTTGAACAGAGGTTTGCAGTCACACAGTTCTGATTCTCTTTTGCATTTATGGAGTTCACAAACAAATTTCTCGAGCCGTTTTCCGCTGTTAGGATCCAACAACCACACAATTACGATGTCTGAATCCCAAAACTAAAATATGATGATATCAGAACCAGAAACAAAAGTGATATGGTTCAAAAGACTTGAAAAGATTGACTTTGTCAATAGTCATATCCCACTGGGAAAACAAACATGGAGGTTTGATGCTCACTTTTTCAGAAAATCCTTCCCAGTATGAATTGTGCAATGACTGGAAGTCTAAAATTCTTGATGCGTCTATTGGATGTAATGACAGGCTGATTTTTGTCCTAGAACGTCTCACGATGTTTGAGGTTACAGTCACACAAAGCTGTTCTATAGTGATGCGAAGGATAAATAACAGTTATATAACACAACTGGATCTCCTGTGTAATACGTTAAATGTTTTAAGGAAATAAGTGTCATTTTCCATTCTTCACTGATACCAGTTAATATTGAGTGTCAACAGGTATTTGAAGGTCCTGTTACACAAAAATGGACTCCTGTGAGCTTTAAGTCATGTTATAATGCTGTTACCTTCTAAAAACAGACCTGGAGTTGTGTTTTGTTTCATTCATACATGTTTGAGTAACTCTTTATTATTAGTCTGTCTACATTGGCAAAACTGAAAATGCTGTCCCTCTTTGTGATGTTATGAAGCTTTAGTTTTCAAGTGAACAGCTCCTTTTACCTTTAGTTCAGTAAAGATTGGCAATTCCAGAGTTAAATAGGGACATGCAAAAATATGAAAATATATCATATCGTTTAATGTGATAATACAGTATCGATATCGTGGACTGCAGTATTGATATATCTCCAATAATACTTTTTGGTATATTTTACTAAATTAATTTGTTACAGCACGACACCTTTGTTGTTCATTTAGAGGAAGGAAACTTTTTATGAAACACATTTGACATATTCACTGTCTTGATGATTAAAATGGGTGTGTTTCATGAACTTTGCACAAGAAGAGGTTTAACAAAGACAGCCATGAGTAAGGCTTTATTATTACCTGGTCCCCGAAGGGTTGACCAGGTTTTGTATTCACCCTGTGTGTCTGTGTGTGTGTCTGTGTGTGTGTCTGTGTGTGTGTCTGTGTGTGTGTCTGTGTGTGTGTCTGTGTGTGTGTCTGTGTGTGTGTGTGTGTGTGTGTGTGTGTGTCTGTGTGTGTCTGTCCACCCACGATAATTCTGCCATTTATGGACCAACTGTCACCAACTTTGGTACGTGGGTCAAGCCCCACTGCCTGATGCCGCAAAAAACGTTTGGTGACGATGTGAGTTCATTTGAGGTCACACGGGTCAATTGAAAGGTCACGCCATTGTAAAGGACAGGCAGTTACGACAATTTCTGAACCATCTGCGGCCTAAAATATTCACCCAATAATCACACAAGTTGGCACACACATAACCAGGGTACACTGGATGTTACAGGTTGAAACCGGTCAAGGTAACCAAGGTCAAATATGCATTTTTGGCCATAACTCCGAGAAGGATCGAGCTACAGTGACGGGAGTGGTCTCGAAAATCTCAGAAAAATGATCTATTTATAATTCTGTGCATTTGTATAGTAAAATATTCATAGTTTTCGATATAATCACTAATTAGAACAGTTCCTTTCTCTTTCAGTGTATGCCATTAAAATTCTAACTGGAATTAAAATAATTTCCATTTCTTGTTTTTCTGGTGATACACAACACACTGATCTACAGTCACACAACTAACATATCCACAACTCATGAAAATGACATTTTGGTTCCACACTAGTAAACCCAGACAATCTCATGTGTGACCAATATCACACAAGTGTTCATGGGCCTGTACACATACACACATTACATTGTGGATATAATGATCATGTGATATGGGCTGGACTCCTCATGAGCTGCTTCTGTGGTGATGAACTGACCCACTGATGCCTCATGGGGGATCAGGTTGATATCTCTGATTGCATTTGTTTACTGAACTGTATTGAATCGGTTTAAAATATATCATATTGAATTATATCGAATCGAAAGCTCACTGTATCGAGATACGTATCATGGCTTGTGTACCGAGGTATGTATCGTATCGATAACTTCTAAATGATACCCAGCCCTAGGGTTGAAATCATCTAAATGGTTCTAGTGAAGGTGTATGGAGTTTAAGAACACAGTGAAGCACTTCTTGTACTACTACTTGATGACCTCACAAGATGGAACAGAGTATTTTCTGTTTGAGAGAAGAACTCAGTGGAAATATTCAGGGTTTGGTGTTAAACATGTGTCAATTAAACACAACAACATAACTCCAGGTCTGTTTGTGATGCAAAACAACATTATAACAGGTTAGAAAATGGCATAATATGGGCCCTTTACAAGAAAAGAATTAGTATCAATATCACTTCTCTCAATGAAACTTTAGTAACTCGCTTTGTACTCATCCACCAAAGTATGAAATGCACCCTCACAAATGCAGACTTTTTGTTTGCTTTGAGTAAACAGAAAGATTACATCACAGAAGTCATAAAACGTATCTGACAATATTTAGACATGGAACCCAACATACTATAAAATACTCAAGGCATCTCATTTTATGTCATGGGAAACTACAACAGGATAAACAAGTTATATTTATAGCTTATGCTGTTATTGCCTTAATAGGATGATATGTCATGAAGAGGCAGACTTTGAAACCAGAAACTCTGAAAACCACAACCAAACTAGGACTAAGTCAGAGTTAAACAAGAACTAAACAAAGGACTAAACCAGTAAACTAGAACAAAACCAGGACTAAACAATAACATAAAACAGGACTAAACCAGCATTAAACCAGAACTAAACCAGAGTTACACAATGACTAAACAGAACTAAAAAAAGGGACTAAACAAGGACTAAACCAGTAAACTAGAACAAAACCAGGACTAAACAAGAACAAAATGAACAAGACTAAACCAGGATTAAACCAGAACTACACAAGGAGTAAAGAAATTACTAAACCGGAACTAAACCAGAACTAAATAAGGAGCAGACAAGCAAGAACTAAACTAGGACCAAAGTAGGACTAAACAGGAACCAAATCAGAACTAAACCAGGACTGAAGAAAAGCCTAAAGAAAAGCCTAAACATGGACTAAAACATGGACTAAACCAGGACTAAACAGGACCCAAACCAGAAGTAAACCAGGACTAAACCAGAACTGCTGAAGACAGTATTACTAGAAGGGATTTAATTATTTATTTTTGAGATACTGCATTTTATTCTTTAAGTTTCCCTTAGTAGTAGTAGTAGTAGTAGTAGTAGTAGTAGTAGTAGTAGTAGTAGTAGTGTCGGATATTGAGTTTTAAATTGCTTCAATACAATCACCACTGTCTTCCCTACAAATAAGTGCACTGACAAAGACTGTTCTGTGAGGAATAAACACACAACAAAACTGTCAATTTGAACCTAATTTTGTAACTATTCAAGTACTGGGTCAAACTCAAGTAAAACTGAGGTTTAAATTCGTACAAATTTGGAATAAAACCAAGACAAAAGCGGCGCAGTTCACCTGTCAAAAACATGACCTGATCTGAATCCCAATCATGTTAGCCACATTAGCTCATTAGCACAACTTTGGCAAATTCCCATGGACAACAAGTTAGCATTTCCTGGAAAAAAAAATTAAATGTCTGAAATGCAAATGTGAGTCCGTAAAAAAATACTAACGGTGATGTCAAATGGGCCGCTCAGACAGAAATGAACAGTCAGTTTTCCAATAATTGCCTAAAGATTGTTTAAGTTTGAAGAGTTGAGATCGGCTAACCTGAAGCTAACCAGATGCTAACCGACTCCCTCTACTGACGCAAGCCGCACACAGAGCCTCGTACTCGGTGTAATGAGCAGCAACTCCCCGCTAAAAGAACCACAACTCACCGGAGCGTGGGACCGATGCAGTTCGTGTCTGTGCTCTCGATTTCCCGCAGGATTCGTTCGTGTTCGGCGGCTGCCTCCACACTCGCCATCCCGCATGTTGGTGCTCCGGGCTTTGGGGATATGACAGGGCACGCTGGCGCTGCTGTGGCCGGGTCAGAGTGAGCTGAACCCGGGCAGAGCAGACTAGGGTGGACCGGTTGCTGGTGCGGAGGAACACTGGCTTGAGATTTTAATCAGAGGCGGAGTTGAAGTGAAGTCAGGCCGGGGCAAGTGCACCGAAAATGAATCCAACTCTGGGTAAATTAAAGTAAAATAAAATATTTAAATAATTGGTGATAGACAGCAAATAGTCTTATATATAATTTTTTCTGATGTGGGTGTGCGATTCTTTTTTGGTCGCCTTGTCACATCTGCATGTAGGTGTGCAATATACACTTCTGACACATGAGAGAGCTAGTGACTATTTTGTTCCAATATTGCTGGTTCAATTACTGTTTTTCATTGTTTAAAACGTAAGTAATACTAATTGTTCAGAGACACGATCACTCAGTCAACAATAAAATATCTTCATTAATGTTCAATAATGGTCAAATCCAACTTTATTTTGTGATTTACAAATAATGTCTATTGACTTGGGCCAGGAAGGTTTGTGACTTTTAAAATATGGGCCCCCAGAACTGGGGGCAATGTGCCTATTGTCATATTGTTTCTTGTAATCAGTTCTATTGAGTGACCATTTAATAACTTCAAATCAAACAATAATTACTATCCAGTCCAAGACTGTCTTGGACTAAATGATATAAAACCTGCCCAACCACAGAGAATCTGATATGGGGACACAGGCATGCTGATGGACACGTCCGTCTTTGAGCAGAAGAGTAGCAGCAGAGGAGAGGAGCACAGGAGACTATAGCAAATGATAATAGCATTGCAAATACACAAGTCATTTTCATGTATTTAAATAAACATCCTTGCCCGGACTTCTCTTTGTATATGTTCTGTTGTCAGGGTTCACAGGAGTGTCAGTCCCCATGGAGCCTGTTCTGCTACTGCTGCTGGTGGTCCCTCTGTGCTGGGGCCATTCTGAGTACCAAGGGAAGGTCGTGACTTATTACAGAGTGGGGACTAATTCAGACGGAACTGTTAGGGTATGTATACACATGTTCTGCAGGGACTTAATACATACAGTAGATTCAGGGAGATGTTTGCCTGTTTTTCTTTACAAGAAACATTCCTTTGAATGAGTCTTGTTAGCAGCACCATGGAGTGATTATTCTATTATTAGAAGTAATGGAAGAGTGGGCATAATAGGACTAACAATGATTGGTTTCATTTTGCTTTTTTCACAGATGGTATTTCGCTATAAATCAAACACTGTGAGCTGTATTAACAGCAACAACAGGTGCCCTACTGACGGCTGTGCGACAATATCATACATCGTAACTCCCATTGATAAGTCGTCGGGAGGTTTTTGCCAAGTGGAGTCAGTCTGGACCCGGGACCCTTCCTCAGATGGCCCTTTCACAATGGAGTAAGTCGTAACAAGAGTTATTTTTATAAAAAAAAAAAAAAAAAAAACACAGGACAGAATTAAATGTTAATTAAATTAATTTTAGATCCTCCCCATTCGACTGGAGCAGCCCCATTGTGAATGAAGTGTTCACAGCTCAAGCCATTATTCTAGTGGACATGAGGAATCGTTCTGACACTGGACAAGCCAACAGATGTCCACAGACCACCATCCAGCCCATCTTTGGGTACATCCACACTGACATGTAGAGATAGAGAATAAAACCTTTACATTCACTATTCTTGTGCTTTGTGGTGGTGTACTTGGATAAACTTTGTTGATCCACAAGGGTCTAAGGTGTTGCACATATTCAGTGTACCACCTTTTCCCCTCTCTCTATTTCATGTTTCAGTTTCCTGTCAAGTAAAGTCTTTGGGCTTGAAAATGTTTTATTTAATATAAAATTCTCTTCCTAACACAGACAACCCTGGAACTGTCCGGGACCCATCCATCTGTTGAGTTTTGATCCTGACGGAGACCTGGTTCACTGCAGATTTGCAACGAGCTCATCAAATCTAAATGAGTGTGCAGATTGCACCCCTCCCTCAGTGCTCAGTCTGTCTGCAGTGAGTCTATGCACATGTTTTAAAGAACCCATATTACACTATCTTCTGATCTATGATATACCGTATTTTCCGCACTAAAGGGTGCGCTCTTAAGCTTCTAACCCCATCAAAAAACGAACACACACCCCACAATCCATAGCACCCTATACACGGATCCACTTGGGTGTCCCAGCACGACTTCAGTAAACTACAAAGTCGCACCACCCACAGCACACGCAAACACACACGGAGCAGACAGCGACCGCACAGCGAAACACACCCACAGCCACACTCATCACTAAACGCTGACAAGGAACGGAACGGAGGAACGAACCAAAACAGCAAGTCAAATGTGCCTTTCTGAGCCACAACTGAACAACTGAGTCACTGCGAACACGCCGACAATCCAGCGGTCCCAGACAGCACCCTCCTTACACGCCACAACTGAACAAAGCCCAGAGTCACCGTGAACGCGCCAAACAAAGTCCGACTGAGCCATCTAACTGTTGTGTTTCCTTTAAAGTCCGGTGCGGTTTATTTGTGAAAAAAGTTCCAAAATAGACCATTTAATGACAGTGCGCCTTATAATCCAGAGCGCCTAATAGCTCGGAAAATACGGTAATGTTGTTTCCTCATCACAAACACACCTAGAGGTGTGTTTTGTTTCATTCACAAGTTTAACTCACAACTCACAACCAATATTTAGGCTGAGTTCTTCTCTCAAACAGAAATCGCTCTGTTTCACCTTGTGATGTCTAGTGGTAATACAGGAAGTGCTCCACTGTGTTTTAAAACTCCATGCACCTTCACTAGAATCATTTGGATAATTTCAGTCCTGGAATTGCCAATCTCTGCTGAACAAAAGGTAAAATCTACCTGTTAACTTGAAAACTACCACTACATGACATCACCACGTGGAACAGAGCATTTTAAGCGTTGGAAATAGACAGACTAGTAGACAGACTAATGATAAAGGGTTACTCAAACACGTGTGAATGAAACACAACTCCAGGTATGTTTTTAAGGAGCTAACAACATTATAACATGGCATAAGGTGCACTATGTAACTTTTTGGTTGGGGGTCACCTGCTTGTTTCTATGGATATGTCATTGCTCTGCCTGGAATGTTCCACAGTATGACATTAAACAGCTCAGCTTTACATTTGTTCAATTACAAGTGGTTTTATAACTCAAAATTACCAAGAAAAACAGGCATTCTGACTGTGAGAGGGGTCGCCTCTCCACAGATCTGACCTGTAACTTGGTCTGGTTTGGTCTCCATGAAGATAGAAAAGTTTAAAGAAACATTCCAGACAAAGCAATAACACCTCCATGGAGAAAAGCATTTAGCGAAAGTTACACAATACACCTTTAAAGCTTACAAGAGTCCATTTTGTGTAATATAGGACCTTTAACACGATTACAGAAAACTTGAATTAACCTTCAGAATTGATTGTGCCCCAGCCTTGCTCTGTATCGTTCAGTGCGAGTCAGAGCAGTCAGGGCCGATACGCCGTGCAGATGGTGATGGAGGACTACCCCCAGACTCAAATCATTCTGACAAACACCAACGGACAACAGGAAGTGAAAGACCCCACCATGAGCATCAGCAAAATCCCTGTCCAGTTTTTATTTACAGGTATTTCTTTTTAAGCATTTTTAATATAGGTATATATAAAGTATATTTGATTCTCAGCTCCTCTTGTGTTTGATGCCGTGGATCTTGAGTTAGTCTTGGTCAGAACTATCTTAGCTGGAGAATGTAGTCAGTCTTAAATAGCACTTTTCCAGACGCTCAAAGTTGCTTTACAGTTTGGTGCATTATTCATCCACTCCATACCTGGTGGCGGTAAGATATTATTGTAGAAAAGGTTAACCTACATGGGGTTTTCTTGCTGTGTAAATGCTTTGTTAACTTCCCCTTGTATTTCTCTTGCATTACCAAAAATACACGGGTTTAATAATCATTTGTGATTTTTTTCTAGTGGAGCCTGCTGCTCCATCCTGCTCCTTGGGCCTGTACTTGCCCTTATTTGTGACACCAACTCCCACACACGGGGCTCAGATCAGCGTGCAGGTCGAAGAGACTTTGTACATCCACATCGAGGCTAAAGCCAGCGAGTCCACGTAAGTCACAACACAAGCAGCAGCACCTTGGAATGGGAAACGGTTTAATCACAGTAGCCAATCAGAACAAGAGTCTGAAAGCAATCCACCAATCACAGACAAAGGCATACCGTTTTTGCAGGTTAGAAAGTACAGTGGTCCCTCGTTTACTCCGGGGGTAATCCGTGAAGTAGTCAACTTTATATTTTACAATTATTATATCTGTTTTAAGGCTGTAAAACCCCTCACCACACACTTTATACACTTTTCTCAGGACAGGACAGTTAACCCTTTTTGCATCCTTCTTAAAACTTACTGCTGCTGTCATCCTTTTGTTATTTTCCTCCTTCTTTATGTAATGAACTGAAGATTAATTTATTCCATAATAAAGCACAGAGTCCTGCACGGGTCCATTTTTGAAGACCTGTACTTGCACAGTACAGCACCACACCCGCCCTTTAACCTGAGATATATCAAACTTTTGCGCTGCCTACGCCACAGACTGAACCAAGACTAAACCAGGACTAACCCACTACTATCCTAGGACTGATTCCAGGACTGAAGAGGAGGACTAAACCAGGACTGAACTAGGACTAAACCAGAACTGAACCAGGACTCACTGTCGGGACAGGCTCAGAGGTAAAGGCAGGAGAAAGGACCAACGGAGAGCTTCGCACCTCACAGAGACAAACATAGCAATTGTCCGATCACGCAGCATTTCAGAATCACACTGCTACCAATCAAACATTTATGTAAATTTGGCTGAACACATTCTGTACTGTACAGGAGACACGGCATGGAGGAGACTGATTGACAATGGTCTACATTCTCTTAGCCAATCAGGACACAGGGGGAAGAACACAATACGTGTTCATATGCTGTTATAAAAAACTATTTAAAAAATCCATGAAACAGCGAGACCACGAAAGGTGACCCGCGATATAGCAAGGGACGACTGTATAAGATTAGTCATATCACTTTGAGAGGACTCCATCTCTTCAGCTTTGTGAGACTGCTGTGAATACCAGATGCCGTAGTGGGACAGCAGTGGCTTTAGCGAAAACTTGTGTCCGTAAGCAAGACACTTCTCCCAAATGGCCAATGTATTGATTTATGTTGCCATGATACTAAAAACTTTTGATACTAAAGAATAGACTTAATACTCAGTACAAATTCAGATACCATTATAATACTAAAAAAACTAAACATGAACACTCTTTATTTAGACACTAGAATTTCATTTTCAACATTAAATGGTAGTACTTTCTTTTCTATTCCCATGTGGTCTTATCTGTGTAATCCCTGAGTGGTCCAGGTATGTTCAATAGTGGTCCATGGGTGTGTACATTTTTTTTTTAGTAATATTGATACTTGTTCAAAGAAATATGTCATTTTGATATTAGTTTTAATGTCAAATTGTCAGATTGTTTATACTTTTCACAATATTATCCACACTTCAAACTTCGATGGTGTTCTGTGTGATGTCACCAAGTACTGGAAATTGCAGAGACCAGTGAAGCCAGCACAAACCTAGATTTAGGTGTGTTTGTCTAGAAAGCAGCACATTTACCTAGTTTGCACAAAAATGTCGAAAAAATGAAGTAAACAGAAAAAATTTCCACTTTAAACATGGAAAAAAGAAAAGGAAATAATACAGGATGTGTGTTCTTCATCAAAACAGCAACAAAGGCAGTGTCTAATGCTGACATAAGAGGTGTTGGTTTAAATATAAAATAAAATTGTGTGATTCTCTTTCTCTGATTTGAGGGTTTCAGAGCTTGTGTTCAGTGGACCCTCCAGGATGACTAAGGCAGGCTCTGGAGGACAGTATGTTTTGAGCTGGACTCCAGTGGCCTCAGAGGAGGGACAGAGCCATCCAGTCTGCTTCAACGTCCGGGCCACTTTCATGTTAGTACCTTTAGCCAACTCACTTTATTTCTATAGTACATTTTGTAAACTAAACACTTTCCAAAGTGCTGCACAATATACATTAACAAATACAAAGGAAATGTTCATATTAAGGCACAGGGGTGTAGCACCAAATTTTGGGGAATAGGTACAAATCATTTTGGTGGGCCTACACTACATGTTGTCTAACTTTGTAAGGGACCCTCTCTGCCCTGGGCCCTGGATAAACACTTGTCCTTTACCCTCCAGTTCGACGCCCCTGTTAAGGTCAATGCACACCTGAATGGACACAAATCCTCAAAGTTTACAGCAGTTTTTCTGTGGGTTTCTGTACTCACTGCAGAAATGAAAAATGTATGTGTTTTCCGGTACACTATTATGTCCATAAATCAAAATGTAAACATTAAAAGACAAACACACAAGTGGTGCATTCAGGAAGAGACGCTACATTCAACAGCCTCGCTTTGGACTGGCTATTTGGTTGCTATGATGCTTGCGGTCGGAATTCCAAATGTGGAACTCGGCTCCAAATTCGCCCCATAACCTCAGACTATGTTTACACTGAAATGAATCACCCTATCACCATATCTGAAACGGTTTGCATCCAGACAGGTCGTTTCTGTGTCCGCAAGCCTTCCCTTTTCACATAACTTTGTGCATATTTGTTTACGTTTTACAGAAACAAAACTTAAAACCACATGGCTAATTTGCATAAACTGAGCACTCAAAAAACAGCTCGCTAGTGTGCGCTGATGCAGTTCAGCTTCTGTCAGACTAAAGGACATGACTCAGTCCAACAGAAGAACATCCTTCTGTTGTTTCTGTGACAGAGGGGTGTTCTGCTAATGGTAAGTCTGTTCTGTGCTTCTGTCACGTTGGAGATGGTTCATGTTAAGATTTTCAGAGATTATACGTCTGCAGGTCACACACACAAACTGTATATATGAATGGACATATTCTAGCCTCTTAGCATTTTGGTGGTGAATTACTTTGCGGCGCATAGACATATCAAAGCGTATCAGTGTTTTCAGGCGTCCACACAGTGCCGGATCAGATCTGTACTCAGATGGATTCGTGGGAGCTGGCAGCACTAGATCATTCCATCTCTGGAACCATTTTCAATCGGATTAGTGTGGATGAACACTACATCCACAACGAAAACGACTCGAATATGTACTAATGTGGATGGGGCCACAGTGAGCTTCATTTGGCTGGAGCCGAATGCTATGGATGACAGCACACTCACTTAGTCCACTTCTTTATACACTCTATGTTCAGACTGTAAAGTGTTGATTTTGAATGTATGATATTATTTACTATTTACTTGGATTTTAAGTGAAACTCAAAAGTGTGTTCTCAAGTTACCTTAACATCACAAGCATCTAACAGCTATAATGTATGTGTTTCTTGTTTTAGGATGTCCAAGTTTACCTCAAGCCTTCGTTGTGTCGTTCTTAATGTTAAAAAAAGTAAGAGAATTAAATTAACTTCCTTAAAATCATCTCTCTTTTATGTGCATATTAAATAGTAGTGGTGACAAAGGGTCGTCCTTTCTGCATCCTGCCCTCTTCTGTCTTGTTCAGTCAAAATAACAATAAAAACTGTCCCTGATTCAAAATTCACAATTCACTTTACTTCAATAAACAATAATACAGTATGTTTAATTTATTTTTCAGAGATAAAAGAAGTCCAAACATTTAAAGGTAAGACTAAGTTTGCTAATATATCATGTAAGTTCATTTTTCACTCATCCAGAATAGTAAAAGCAATATTATCTATAAAATTTCTATTGCCACTACATCAGTTGGAGTGTTTTTTTACATTATTTTAAGCTGTGTAAGCTTAACTAACTTAAAGGGCCCATCTCATGAAAAATAACTCTTTTCACATTGTATCTTCTGCACATATACAAGCACAATAAAATGAGGTCGTCATAATCTGTACAGGCGACCGCTAAACATCAGTGGTTGTAATGACTGAGGTGTAATCACCATTTTGTTCTCATGCAGAAGCATTGAAGGCAACTCACTAGAATAAAATGATGCCCTAAGTCTGTTGTTAGTATCAATGTAATATCGTAGGACTATGTGATGTTTGTCAAACTAAAACAGGTAGAACAAGGGAGATGACATGCAGACTGAAATTATATGTCAGAAAATCTTCAAAAATAAATGCTGCAGTTTGCTTTTAGTTCTCTACAGCGGTTTACTCGCGGTAAACTTACAGATCAAGGATCGCCATCACTGGACCCTGGTATCGTGGGAACAGCATCCTTTCCCAAAGTGTCGCTTCTGCTTCGTTGTAAGTCCAGTTTTAAAATATCTGCAGTTCGGTCTTCGGTGAAGTGTCGCTCGTAAACAAAAATATTCTTGGGGACCTTTTTGTCTGTGTTCCCAGAAATAAACTCTAGTCACCTAACATGCCTTACTTTTTCTGTCGGCTTGACAAATCATTTCGACTTGCCATTGCAGTCAAATACGCACTTTTTCCCATGAGGACATGGTTACAAAAAGCGTGTTTGAAGCACAAAATAAAGATAAATAAGAAGAACAGCAGACCTGTAGGGTGCCGACGCAGGACTGTGTGTGAGTGGGTGCAGGCGGGGTGGCGTTGGTGGAGTGGGGGAGGGGGGCAGGTGCGAAGCGCTTTCTGCTACATCAAAAGTGTCATAGGTGTATCTGGCGATGTCATCATTGTAGCAGATTTAGTTCGTTGTCACATGGGAGGGTGACAGAAATACACTGCAATTTGTTAAAAAAAAAAACACAGAATCAATCTAAAAACCACTTGGGCGGCATATACAAGGCCACACATCACTCTTAGAAGGTAGAAAGCTCTGAAAAGTTGATTTTGCATGAGATGGGCTCTTTAACTCATGACATCGCATGGTGGAACAGAGCATTGTGAACTTTGGAGATGTAGACAAACTAATAAAGAGTTACTCAAACATGTGTGAATGAAACAAAACACAACTTTAGGAATGTTTTTGATGAAGTAACAACATTATAACATGGCTTAAAGCTCACAATACTCAATTTTATGTAGTAGTTAGTTATTCTATTTATTTATTCTAGCTATTTATCTAGTTCTGTACAAGTTCATATCAATTATACAGATATAATTATCCAAAATTTGGTCTTACATTTTAGTTGTCATCAAAACACTATCTTCACTAGCATTTATCTAGTTCACAATTATTTTCTCTTTGGTGCAATTTAGTGAAACAGTTTTTTCAATCATAAATTACAACATTACAGCAGTTGTGTTGCATTGTAAACCTCATTGATTCAGTTTTCCGGATGTTCAAAAGCTTCAAGACTTCATTCTGTCATTTTAATCCCTGTAGTATGGATGTCCTCTTCCGCTCTTCTTTCTGATGAAGCTATGAGGACAGCTCTGCTTGGACAGGTGGGTCCGACTACTCATTTCACATTTAAAAATCTTGCCTAATATTTCCTTGTGTAGTGAAGTTTATAATTTTACTTCCCGGTTGGACACAGATTGCAGACGTACGTAGAGGTAGTTCCATAACTGTTACCTTGCAACCTAGCGAGGAATGTCTCTGCATTTTGGATGGATTTTTTTGTGTCTACAGATCAGAATGGAGCTGGAGAAAAACAAGCTGCCTTCAGACATCTCCGTGAGACTGAGCAACGTCATTCAAGCCATACCCACCGCAGAGTCACCACCAAGGGGGGGGTGTCCAAATGTCTAACTGCTGTGTTTCAGATGACAACAGAAATTCCATAGGTCAATAATATTTAATGGGTAGTGTTCAGATTGTAGAATGTTGAAGTTTGATTGATACCTAAAGCTGTGTTGGTGATGTTAATGGTCAGGTGTTGATGTGTGGTGCATGTTGGTTTGTCTTTTAAAACTAATTAAAAAATAATCATAATAAATAAATGTGTGTCTGTTGTAGTTCTAATTCAGTCCTGGTTTAGTTCTGGTTTAGCTCTGGTTCAGTCATGGTTTCTTCCTTATTTACCCCGATTTAATCTATGTTAAATTTTCCCTATTAGGTTCTTGTTTATAGTCCTACTTGAGTCCTGGTTCATACCTGGCTGGACATGGATCATTATGTTCTAATTTGGACATTAAAATCACAATATTCATCTGAAAAGGCTTAATAAAAGAAATAAGTGCGCGTTAGAAAACTGTGGAGTCCAGTGGGAGCTGACGTCGCCATAAATGTCAATCACAACAAGGAGTCGGCACCACTTATAGATAAAGATGCAAAAAAACCAAGGCACTCACTGGTTCAAAATAAAATGCCTTTATTAGTTTACGGCATGTCTTAATGGACAAATTAAAAAATCCCGACGCGTTTCAGCCTATGGCTTTCCTCAGGGGACAAACAGAACTGAGAGCAAATCATGTGAATTAAATACAAAAAACCCACCAATAGGGCTGCTCCACCTGGAAGAGGAGGAGTGGAGACTCACCTGTGGACACCACCTGATAACACCACAAGATGGCAGTGTTAAAAACAGTGGAACATCATAGAGAATATAAAAACGAAATATTTACAAAAAAATAAAATAAATAAAATATATACAAAATATACCATGCAGTATAAAAAATGCCACGCAGTTATAAAAACACAGAGAAGTTCAAATCATCATTAAGCCCAGGATATTTTGTTGCCTGCAATTTAAAGATCCAATACGTTTCACATTGTTTGAGTTGTGCAATCCGATTTCCTTTTCGTAACGAGTCTGGTATATGGTCAATTCCTTGTATCTGTAGATTCGATGGGTTACTGTCATGGAAGTCCAAAAAGTGTCTGGCCATAGGATAATTGGTATTGGCTGTGCGGATAGCATATCTATGCTCAGCCAAGCGCTCTTGTAGGCGTCTTTTTGTCATCCCTACATAGAACACCTTACAAGTAGGGCAAACAAGTCTGTAAATAACAAAAGTTGTTTTGCAGTTGATAAAATGTTTTATTGTTTTATTTTATATTATTCTTTTTGTGAACAATAGTCCAGAAATGACTTGGTTTGACATACGTTTGTGCAGTGGGGGCAACTGTTGCCCGATGGTAAGCTTTTAGGAGGGTCTCTTTCTTATATCCCCGATCTTGGAATCTGTCCATCATCTCACATGATTTTATTTCAAAATCACAATCTTGATCACAAATTCTCCGCGCACGCTGCATTTGTCCATACGGGATATTTTCCTTAAGCCGCTTTGGATGACAGCTTTTACCATGTAGAACTGTATTTCTGTCTGTAGGTTTTCGAAACAAAGTAGTGTGTAAATTTCCTTCATTGTCCTTATAAATTGTAGTATCCAAGAAATTCACTTTTTCCTGGCTATACTCCAAAGACAGTCTTATATTAGGATTGATGCTATTTAAAAAATAATGAAATTCTTTTAGCTCTGTCTCTGATCCAGACCAAAACAGACATATGTCATCAATATACCGTCCCCACCAAACAATAGAATTGTGAAACTTATTTCTTTCAGTATTAAAGATAAAATCATGTTCCCATTTACCCAGGTACAGGCCTGCATATGATGGGCTATAACAGGCACCCATAGCACAACCTTTTACTTGTCTGAAAATTTTATCTTCAAATACAAAAATATTGTTGTTCAATGTCCAATTTGTGAGTTTGATTCAAAACTCATTTGGTGGCATTGTATTAGTAGGGCGGTTATTCAGATAGAACCCCAAAGCTGCCAATCCCTCTTTGTGTTCAATATTTGTATAAAGGGATTCAACATCCATAGTGGCTAAAAAGGACTCTGGGCCTATGTTTTTTAGTTGCTTGATTTTTAAAAGGACGTCAGATGTGTCCTGGATATAAGCTGGGAGGGAAGGCAAGTAAGGTTTGATGAAATAGTCTATGTATTTAGAAATCGGTTCTGTAAGACTATCATTGCCCGATATGACTGGTCGACCAGGAGGGTTAGTGAGGCACTTGTGAACTTTAGGCAGCATATAAAACGATGCCATCCTAGGGTGCTCATTCAAAAGAAATTTCACTTCTAATTCAGAGAGCCAGTTCTTCTCCAGTGCCTCAGTAAGGATCTGTTTTAACTCTACTTTTAGATCATCTGTGGGATTATATGTAAGACAATTATAAAATTCTTCGTTGTTGAGTTGGCGATAAGCCTCTTTTACATACATGTCTTTATCCCACAACACTACAGCTCCACCTTTGTCTGCCTTTTTAATAACAATATTATCATTTTTTGAAAGCTCTTCCAAAGCACATTTTTCTTTAAATGAAATATTAGAGGTAGTGGGTTTTCTTTGGTTACTAAACAATTTATCAATCTCAAAGTTAACTTTTTTTGCAAATGTATTTAATGTGGCATTCTGTACTACAGGGCAAAAAGTAGACTTAGGTTTAAAAGGGAGTCTTAAGGCCGTCTGACCTGAGTTCGAAGAAGTGATTGCAGGATTCAGTCTATACCATGTCTTTAGGTGCAAACTTCTGTAGAATCGAAATAAATCAATTTTAGTATCAAATTCCTGAGCAGAGTAAGTAGGGGCGAATGATAATCCCTTAGACAGAAGCTGGACACTGTCATATGATAGAGGACAATTGGAGATGTTGATTACTGCATGTATCTGGTTCTGCTCCGGGTGTTTCTGGGTTCTGGGTTTCTTCCTCCCCCTTCGCGTTCTCCTCTTCTTCTGTCCCGTCTTGTTTTGCGTTCCCTTCCTCTCATAGGTTTTGTAGGATGGGGTAGATTGTCTCTTAGTGCTAAAAAATCCTGTGAGGAAGTTGCAGAAGAGGAAGTATAATCTTCTTCCTCACTACTTGTAAAGTTGAATGAGACTTTTCTAGGTTTTGTCTGATTTGGTGATCCAGCTTCAGTACTTCTCACAGTCCTCTTTCTCCAGTTGTAGACCTTTCCCTCTTTATAATCAGTTTCATCCCTCTGTAGCTTTTGATCTTATACTGTTTCAGATTTTGTGTATATTTCTCCATGTCCAAAGTGAGTTTCTCCTCCAAATGGTCACTTCTAAACTGTGTTTGACCTTCTTTTATTGTTCTCCTTACTTCAGCAATCTCCTTTTGTACAACTTCTCTGTCTTTGTTAGATTCTTCAATAAGCAGAAGCATTAAGTCAGAAGAACAAAGGTCTACAACTGGAGAAAGAGGACTGTGAGAAGTACTGAAGCTTGATCTGAAAAGAAAAGTTTGCTTTAAATAATTTTTTTGTTCTTGGGTAATCCTAGTTCAGTCTTGCTTTAGTCCTGATTCATTCCTTTTAGTTAACTCCTTATTTAGTTCTTGATTAATCCTGATTCAATTTAGTCATCCTGATTAAATCGTTATGTAGTATTTGGCTAATCTTAGTTCAGTCCTGGTTTAGTCCTGGTTTAGTCCTCCTGATTAAGTCCTGTTTTAGTACTGGTTTTGGTTTGGATTGAATTGGTTGAGCCAGTACAGTTTTATGATAACATCTGAAACTTGAGCACTTACAGAAGAACACAGTGTGGGAAAAAATGTCTTGAGTATCTCTTTTCAAACGATGACATAAAGATGCATTATCCGCTTTGTTGATTTAAAAAGGGACACTGAAGCCTGGGTTTTCCAAAGAGGAGCCATAAACCAGCAACAAAAACCTAAGAAAGGAGAACATTTTCATTTTAATTTCCTGATTTTCTGGAAGGAACAACAGGACGTGACAATGGTTTTAGAGACAATTTTGATGTATGGGATTTAGTTTTCTACAGTTTTTTTTTTTTTTTTCTTAATGCTATTTTTGTTCAGCAACTTTATTTTTTGAGACCTTTCAATATTTATTGAAGATATTCCTCATTAGGCTTTTAGAGTAGCTCTTAGAACAATATATAGATATATTTCTTAATGTATGCAGTAGTCTGGGCACAACACCTTTATTGTTGCAAGATAGAACTAGTGCCTTGGCAGAAGTCTGTACTTTTTTGATTTTACCTTTGTAATACCAAACTTTAGACTAGTTTTTCCCCTAAACAATAGGAATAAAAGTTGTGCCAAGACTTGATATATTAAACTAACCATTGCTAGATTGGCCCAGTATGTACCAATTTTGATTGTCAGTTTTTTCTATAATTTGTTGAGATCATGTTGTTGTTTTGTTTCTTGGTTTTCTTGTCTTTTATCCACTCTTCCTCTTCTGAGACTCTGGCAATCGTCTCAAGTTTCTATCCAAAAACAAAGAACTCGGATGGATCTATGGAGGTAAGTTTTCATTAATAATCACTGGTAGTTCTCAAAGTGAATTTGGCATCATGTAACTTTTCTGCCACTTGGAGATGTCTTATTCCACAGTATGACATTAAACTTATCAGTGTACATGGAGACAAGCAGGTGATGCCAATGGTGTGCCAAATTACAGCTCAGCTCTGTGGAGAGGTGACACTATTCACAGTAGACGGCATGTTTTACCAAGTTTTTTGGAGGTGCTAAACCAATATAAGTCAGCTTAACCTATTATACAAAATTAACTTTTTAAAGCTTTTAACCATGTTCCATCATTTACCCTCTCAAAGTTGTATTTGGAGTGATTGGGGCATGTTTGAGTGATCTTTAATCGCTTATTTTCAAGATGCAATGTTGACGATCTACCCGCCATTTTCATCTCCACTGGAATATGCCCACTGTGACGTACTTACTTTGTCTCTCTGTTTATTTTCTTAATGATACACTTAGGCTGCGTCCAGACTGTAGGGCTTAATGCTCAATTCTGATTTTTTTGTGAAATCTGATTTTTTTGCGAGGTCGTTCACATTTCCAATTATCACACACAGGGAGCGTGTTCAGTGTTTAAGGAAGTAGCCTAAACGCTGGGCTTGTTTCCCAAAATACAGTCCAGTTATTTGTAAAATGGACAAGTTACACGTCCACGACCACGATCCTTGTATTTGGCTCGCAAGCTCTTTCTTTTTTGTTAACACTGGAGGTAGCCACATTTCTTTGGCAATCATTTCAGAAACCACCCGGTTCCAATAAGACCCCTCCAATTTGGCCTGAATACAGCGATCCCCCCAAATATTAATTAACTCACTAACCTCGCTTTCCCTCCACTGACTTGACTCTGAGCCTGACGTGTAGGTGGGATGAATGCTCCCTGGCCGTTCAGACTAAAGTTCCATTGCAAAAGATTGGATATGTCTCAGTTTTAGGAGCACATATCCAAGTTCCCTTGGTCGCATTTGTCGCATTCGTTAAAAGATCAGATTTGCGTTACATGGAGAGAAAAAAATCTGATTTGGGTCACTTTAGGCTGCAGTTTGAACATAGCCTTAGAATTCAGCGGCGTAGCGTAGTCACTTTGGTCCAAATGTAAAAGTTGCTCTGCTCTAGTGTAATGTGCAGCTATCCATAGGAGGGGCCCACAGCATGCAGCGCTTTGTTGTCATGACGTTTACGCCAACATCAGCTCCCACTGGGCACTACAGTTTTCTAACACGGAAGTCAGCGCACTTATTTCTTTTATTCAATTGTTTTAGATCAAGTATGATTTAAAATGTTCACATTATAACACAATGACCCACGGGTGTCAAAGATTATATTATAGAGCACAAACAAGCACTAAATGTCTTCTTTAAAGCCTTACTGTAAAATCTTCAGGAATTAACATCTTTAAGGAATTGACAGCTTATGTTTGATTTCACTCCAGTGTTTAATTGCTTGCTCAGATCTGTTTTGCGTTTCATGATGAGATCATTTTAACATAATATTGTAGAGCTACTATCAGGTAATGCAGGTGAGCCAGGAGTATTGTTGCTTTGAAAAGTGAAGTTTTTGTCTGAAACAAATGGAGGGATCAAATGACCATAATCCTATCAGACGATCAGGAAAAACAATATATACTGTATATACTTACGTATACTGTAGTGTAGTAGGTGCTCTCGAACTTGCACTGGTGGAGGATCTGACATGTGTTTGTCTCCACGGTGTTCCACAGTTCCACAGTTCTGTTATTTGTGGAGGAAAAAGTGGTACTGGAGTGATTTCAATACATACAATAATGATTTATTTTGCAGCTCTAAATTATAGCCTATAATAGATTTTTTTTTTTTTCTTTCTGCAGGTCGTGATTCGTACACTAGTCAGTTCAAGAGATTGCGGTCCAAGTCTCTGGCAGTGCTTCTCTGGTGTCTGTGGTAATCAAACTTCATCTGTCTCTCATGTAATTTACAAAGATGAAAACGAGTATTGTCAAGTGGAACAGATCTCTACTCTGCAAGTCCCAACCAACGCTCCATTTGAAATCAGGTAAATGAGAAGTACAGGGCAGAGAAGTAGTGTTGTCATTTTAATGTGGTACTCACCTAACCAAAGGCTGTATACAGAAATGGACACAAATATGTGGGCACTTCCAGCTCCTTCTGACCCTGGCTCCCTTTGACTTACATTGGAATATTGTCATCCCTCACTCTGAAACTGCTGCTGTGAGCCTCGTCATTTTGGTCTTAAAATGTTTGTATTAACCCTCTCTACATGATCCTATGTAACTATCTAAACCAGACTGTCCAAAGAAGTAGACTAAAGAGTATGACGTCCTCCATAGTGTTTGGCTCCAGTCAAATGAAGCTCACTCTATCAGTAACAGGAGCGAATCTGGATTTTCTCATGTAAAGTTAATTGGAGCCAGTGTTTGGTTGACACGGCACCTACGGTTTTCAAAAAGGCTGGATTTTGTGGTGATTTTTATAGACACATTATCAGAAAAAATAACAATAACTGGCCCCTGCTGTATGCAGTCAGTAGTGCATGCATGAAAGTGAGGGGCCATCCACACGACAAAGTTTTTTGGTCAAAACGGAGAAGTTTGTATTCATTTTGGCCTTTCGTCCACACAGAGCCAGCATTTTGGGTGGGCAAAAATAGAGTATTTTGAGAACAGGTTCCAGAGTGGAAGAATCTGAGAACACCGGCGTCGCGTTTTTGTGTGGATGAGTAAACCACAGCTTTTGGAAAACGACGTCACTAGGGTCCTCCGATGCAGCGAAGCCTGCAGCTCTCGAACTAGCCTCCACAGATCGCAAGAGCGTTGCCAAAATGGGACACTTGTAGCCTACTGGGCCGCTCCTGTCGCCCAGAAACCGAGACACGCTGCTAGCGCTAATGCTAACAACACGCAGCACAGATTATGCACACGGATCAATAACAAAGACTATGTCTCCACTGAAACGAATCCACGTATCACAGTATCACAGTATCACTATATCACTGTATCAGAAACGATCTGCATCCAGACACAGCACCACATACAGGTGTGGCAGATGTATTACATCGTTTTCACTCAGTGCTCCGTTGTCATGTGGACATGAATACTTATTGATCCGGCATGTGTATGGACGCAAATTTTTTTCAACCCGTAAAGAAAAAATCCAGGCGCTTTGTCGTGTGGACGCAGCCTTAGACACAGCTGTACACAAGCCCAAGAAGTGGTTCAGTTGGAGCATGCAGCCTAGTTAAGGCTGTGAGGTAACTGATTTTAAAAAGACCCCCCTTTTATAAAGACTTTTTTTTTTTTTTTACGTATTTTTAGATCATAGATTTTGAGCTGAGAAAAAAATGTTTCAGTTATCTTAAAAACAGCTTTTTAGTGGTTAGCTCCACCTCCACTCTAGCGCCTCTCTCTCTGAATGATCAAATTGTTCACAGGGTGCTGCATGAGAAAAGAGCACTACTGCGCATGTTCAATGGGCAGAGAGCCACTGGAAGTACCAAACCAGGCTAGACTAATCTGGAGGCATGTGCCATTGAAGCTCTGCCCACTGACTTGAATGGGCGGCCATGTTTAGACTCTGGGGCTTGTTCTAACTGCGGAAACTTTTTTTCATTCCCTTTAACTTATCTAAGTCTCTAAGTCTATTATAGAGATAACCAGACAGAAAACTACAAGAAAGGACATAAAAGGTGCATTGTGTAACTTTTCTTGTGTAGGGTCTGTCAGATGCTTGTCTCTATGGTGATGTTATTGCTTTGTCTGGAATGTTTCACAGTATGACATTATACCTTTCTATCTTCACGGAGACCAAATCAGACCAAGTTACCACGCTCAGTCAGAATGCCTGTGTTTTGTTTTTTTTAAGTATTTTTCAGCAGTAAAACCACCTGTAATTGAATAAATGCAAAGTAGATCTATGTAATGTCATACTGTGGAACATTCCAGGCAGAGCAATGACACATTCACAGAAACAAACAGGTGCCAGACCCTCAACCAAGAAGTTACACAGTTGCACCTTTAAAGCTCCCTAAAACTATTCAAGTGTCCATTTTTAACAGTCCTAATAGTTTGTCATTGTGAAATCCATAGATATTGCTGAACATTTTGCTTCTCCAGGTCAAATGTTGGTGAGCGTGAAGTAAAGGACATTTCAAATGCCAAAGATAAATCGAGGAATTTAACCGCCGTGGATTTAAGGACCCGCTCAGACACCGGAAAATCCAACTCCTCTCCTCAGACTTCTATGCTGCCCATTGTACGGTGAGGAAAACACTGATTTACCCAACTGACCCGTGAATGTGTCATGATGTCAAATTGTAGTGTTAAAGGCGCTTTACCAGATTTTTACATTTTTACAAATGTGGCGACTGAGGGGTTAACACTCCGGGAAATTGTAATAGATTGTTGCAACAACACCACCCCAAATCTAGTTTAGGGAAATATAGTCTAAATGTAAGGCACACAGGTAAGCATATCAGTGAGGGAGAGAGAGCGAGGTTCCATCATTTACACAATCTTTATTTTCTCTATTTTAAAAGATAGATTTAAATTGTTTAAAAGTAGCTACATCCATTAAAAATAGGCAAAACAGAAAAACAGTACAGTGGAAGGAACAGGTACAAAATATTGAAAAAGCAAAGCGAAACCCCAAAACCCAAAGCAAAACTAAAGTAAACACAGCAGTGAAACAAAACAAAAGCAATGAAGCTAAACAAAACGGCAGTGAAACAAAACAAAACAGCAGAGGCGGTGTGCTCACCTAGAAAATTAATTGCTGGAATTAAAATCTGAGCCTGCAGTACAAGAATCTGGGCTAAACATGTACCGTGGTTAGAAGTGACAGTGCGCAATCCCCAGGCTGAATCAAAGGTAACTTTACACAGAATAACTGCGTCCAGACGTGGCCCAGACAACGTGGACCGGCACACGCTATAAACATACCACAATTTAGAAAGTTGGTTGGCACAGGTAGCCCGTGGCAGTAGGGTTTTGGTTACCTGCCGCCGCGGTTTAAGGGACACGGCGGCGCACAGCCAAGCGCAATGCGGAGGGACTCACTCGGCTCACCCGTGGAGCTAAAGAGAGACACCGGTAAGAGTATGGGTATGGATGAATGAGTGGAGGAGCATTACCTTGTCGGCAGAGATGAAAGAGCACACTAGGTGCTCCATGATTTGGAGGAGCGAGGGACTGATGCGGTGAGGAGCACTGGCCAAGCAGCGGCCAAGCAGCGATAATAAAAGGAAACGTGATTGGAAATTTGGATATAACGCGCATGGGAGTTTACGAATGAAAGTTACCTGAGCTGAAGAACAGAGCGGCCACCAGGAGAGGCCCGGAAGACCGTCTGAGCCAAAGGGGGAACGACTAAGAAGGGAGCGCTTAAATAGTCCACCAGCGCAGCGCCACGGAACGCCAGGCAAGAGCACCCGCAGCCTAGACCCTCAAAGCCGGTCTTACCACACAAACAAAACAGAACTAGTTCATTTGAAACAGTTTGCAGTGGTCAAAAGTTCTTCCTCTTCTTAAGTTCTTATGCATTCAGAGCATCCGAATGATTCACCACGATGAGTTTACTTCTGCTTTTCTCAACTCTCACAGGACAACTAGCATACTAACAGCGCACTTCCTGATTATCAGACAATAAAACAGTTGCGGACAGAACGCAGTGGACTTATATTGTCCTCAGGGGGGAACGTCACACAAGGCCTTTAACACTGTGGAAAAAACAGAAGAGAATATTCCTGAGTGATAAAAGTAAAACAGTGAATAGGCTCTGTGCGCAAAAGTTCTTAAACATCCTTACTGTTAGCGTCACTACTTCCTGTTGTGTATTAGGATCAGGTCGAATGTTTCAGTTCGAGTCCAGGCCGCGTCCGACAGCAGTGATCGAATCCGACTCAAGCCCAATAGACATTAAGATATTTGTGTCTGAAGTCGACACAATTAAAATCACACTATTTTCACAGGCCTAATGACTCATGTAGGATATTGTTTGTGTTCCTCTAACAGACACAGAGACGCAAAATACAAACTCGGGATAAAGCGAAAATAATGAGAAGACTTTATTACTCACCTCTCATTATCCATAATAATGGTCCTCCGGAAATAATGACACCCAGTCCACAAAACCGCGCTGTGAATCCAGTTTGAAGTGTTCTTTGAGGGCCTGTTTACACGAGAACACTTGCGGGTAAAAATGACAAAATATTTTATCGGTAGTGCCTTTCGTTGACAGTGACAGTGTTTTTGGAGCTTAAAAACACAAAAATCTGAAACTACGCTCCAGAGTGGGAAAGTTGAATACGCTCTGCCGTAGCATTTCCGTCTACACTGCCCAAGAGGCAAAAGTTTGGTGAGATCTGCTCATGTCGTGTAACATTTACGTCACACACATCACCACCTTGCATCACCACCGAGCCTCCTGACATGCATACCTAGACCAATTCCACACACTTTTGTGTCACCTTATGCACGCAGATTTCCTCCTGAAAATGCTTGTCTAAACGTGGAATAAAAAGTGAAGATACGACGCCACTTTTGCATCTTCTGTTCATCATATAGGTAGCCTAAAAGTAAAAAGGTCAGAGTAGTTCCTCACGTGTGTCTGTTTACATCCACACAGTGCATGGATCGAGGTGAAGCTGCAGATGAGCGATAGTGACTTTCTATGTACTTTATCGCCAATCTTTATGCTTTAAAAATCATGTATTTGAAGTATTGTATACCACATTTCACAAATAATAATAATAATAATAATAATAATAATAATTTTCACAAATAATAACACAGTTTTGACTTGTATCTAAACTAGAAGTGCAGAGCTCTGATCTTTTGAACACTTAGGAGGCTCAGATCGAGTGGTTTTACTGTAGACAGGAAACAGCTGATGCACTGATGTGTCTGAGTCCAACCCGAGCCCAAATATAAGTTCTAAATATTTGTCCGACTTCAGTCGAGTTGCGATGCTCTATTCTGTATGTGAGGGTTTTTGGCTGAATTGTGCTCAAATTAATTAATATTTAAAGACAAGGCAGAGAAAAAGGAGTTAAATAGTACACAAATCAAATGAATACTTGAGAGGAGGACTCTGTGTTTAGAAATAAAGAGGTTTGTGTCTTAATGTCACCTCTAATACAGATTTTGAGACATAATAAATATTAAAACAATGCCACAAACTGAAGTACTCTACATATAAAATAACTAGGTAGTCTTTACTTTAACTAAATTAAATCTAAATAGGTTGTTTACGTTTTTTGATTTTAATAAAAGTGACGGAGGGACGGCCACCTGCTTGGCACAAAATACAATGTATTCATGTGTTTAATACGTTTCAGTTTAGTTTTTGATGCCAAATTTCCCTCCCTTTGCTCTCCGTCCTAAGTCACTCCCCCTTCAGAGCGCAATCCCATTACAATCGCCGTGCATCCTGCTAATGAAACTACTGCACGTCACATCAGGTCTGTCATGTTGTTGTGTACAGTTTTGTTTTTGTATATTCATGGAAAATTGTCATGTGGGAGCGTGAGTGATGTAGACTTGTGGGTGGAGCCTGGAACAATGTGATAACATGGGATAAAGCTCCAAAAAGTCAAGAATGGATTGATGGATTTCTGGTTTTCCTGGTTGTTTTTTCAGAGTTCCTGTAAACTGTCAGAGGAAATATGGGCTTCTGAAGTTTGATCCTGATGGAGATGACATGTTCTGCTCATTCATGACGATATCTCAACTCAAGTGTGACAACTGTGATCCCGGTGTCCTCATCCCTATTGTGAGTGGCAGAGTGGTTAGCCTGTATTGTCCTCTCAGTAAGGAGATTGTCAGTTAGACTCCTGACTACTCTCTTTCACCATTAAAAAATGTTTCAAACTTAAAGTACCCGTAGTATAGGGTGACCAACCGTCTGTTTTTCCCTGAACATGTCCGTATTTTGCGTCCTGTCCGGGGTGTCCGGGTTTTTTTTTTAAGTGACACAAATGTCCGGGTTTTCATTACCATTCATTGGAGGCATTAAATTGAGTGCCTCTCGTAGCTCCCTGTTACTCAGAAGGAGCGAGCAGACTCAAACAGTCGGTCAGTCTGCAACATGCCGAAACGCAAATTCGCATTTAACGATGACTTGGACAAGAAATTCTCCATTTTCCATCCCAGTCGGGACAAGTGGGAGGCCATATGCACAGGTTGTGAGGTGAGAGTACAGTGTCCCTCGTTTATCGTGGGGGTTACGTTCTAAAAATAACCCGCGATAGGTGAAATATAATATATATATATATTTTTTACAATTATTATATCTGTTTTCAGGCTGTAAAATCCCTCACCACACACTTTATACACTTCTCTCAGACAGGACAGGTGCAACCCTTTTTGCATCCTTCTTAAAACTTATTGCTGCTGTCGTCATGTTATTTTCCTTCTTCTTTATGTAACAAAATGAACATTAATTTATTCCATAATGGAGCCCAACAGCACAAAGTCCTGCACGGGTTAGTTTTTGGAGACCAGCACCGCACCCACGCAGTACAGCACCACACCCGCTCATTAACCCGAGATTATATCAAACTTTTGCGCTGCCTACGCCACGGACTGAACCAAGACTAAACCAGGACTAACCCGGGACTAACATAGGACTGATTCCAGGACTGAAGAGGAGGACTAATCCAGGACTGAACTAGGACTAAAACAAGAGTAAACCAGGACTAAACCTGGACTAAGCCAGAAGTGAAACAGGACTCACTATCGGGACGGGCTCGGAGGTGACCGCAGGAGAAAGGACCGACAGAGAGCTCTGCATCTCACAGAGGTAAACACGACAATTGCCCGATCGCGCTTTGTGGACAAACTGCTCGGCGTTCTCTCTCTTAAGTCCAAGATTAGTCCTGGTTTAGACCTGGTTTAATCCTGACCCACCCGTGTGTAAAAAAACATGCGAAATTGTCAGGAAAAAAAAGGAAAAAAAAAAAAAAAAATCAGCGAAACGGCGAGAACGCAAAAGGTGAACCGCGAAATAGTGAGGGACTGTAGCTCAATGTCGAGGCCCCACCTCCCACCCCCGGTAAGGTGTCCGGGTTTTCACAAATGGAAATATGGTCACCCTACCGTAGTATGCTATTTTCTGATCTATGTTCTAATGTAGTTTCCTCATCAAAAACATACCTGGAGGTGTTTTGACAAACCCTCATGCAAACGCTGCATATTTAGAGTTCTTCTTTCAAACAGAAAACACTCTGTTCTACCTTGTGATGTCATGTAGTAATACAGGTGCTCCATTGTGTTTTAAACCCCAAAGACCTTCACTAGAATCATTTCGATAATTTCTGCCCTGGAATTTCCAATCTCTACTGAACTAATGGTAAAAAGGAGCTGTTAACCTGAAACCTACTGGTTCATTACATCACAAGGGGGAACAGAGCATTTTGAGCTTTGGAGATGTAGACAGAATAATAATAAAGGGTTGCTCAAACGTGTGTGAATGAAACAACCCCACAAATGATATAGCAAAGATGACCAAACTTATAATATAAAAACTTACTGTGACAAAGTAAAAAGCGCTCAAAAAGTCTTAGGCACACTGTTGTAACTATTTGTAACTATTAAACGACTTTTATTCTAATTCCAAATGCCTCTGACTTTCTGATCACTTTTGACTTTATCACAGTAGGTTTTTACATTACAAGCTTGGTCATCATCTAGTGAATATATGTTAGCTTTTGAGCCTCATCCTACAGGAGCACCTTTTGTGAACTGAAAAGCTCTCACTTCCTCTGTGTTTTTATACAACTCCAGGTATGTTTCTGTAGCGTGATTCATCAGCCGGTTTCACTTCGTGGAAACCGTCTGATCTCGCAGCATTAGGATTCGTTCGCTTGACAAGGCGGGTACTTTTTTTAATTTAACCAATCACTGCTATTTGGTCGTGACATATGTAATGCACCCATAATGGGGATAACTAGTATATTAAGCTTTTCCCAAATCCTGTAGGAAGAAGGACAATAACATCTTTCCCCTTGATAAAATTCACCAAACATTCTCTTTGTTCCGGGTTTAAATTCTCAATCTCAGGAATCATTGCCAACAGAGAATGTCTGGCTCTTCACTGATTGGCTGGTGCCTGGACTCCCACTTCCGGGATTTTTGCAAACCATCTAGTGTATTTTGATTCCTGACCTAGTCACTGGAGAGAAATGAAATTGAGCGAAGGCACTAGGTGGCGCCAGCCTGGCTAATGTTTCTGAGGAGTTAACAACATTATAACATGACTAAAAACTCCCAAAAATAAATGTTGTGTAATGTAGGATTTTTAAATAATAGTTTGCGTTTCATCTTTAGATGTTTAGATCTGAGCCGTGCTCGGTCCTTTACACGCCAAACCTGATCCAGTCTGGAGACATGCTGAAGGTGGACTTCATCATGGAGGACTACCCCAAGGCCAGTATGAACATGACCGCCACCAACGGGGCCCAAGAGACCCTTGAATTCTACAACACCATCAGCAAAGTCCCCATTCAGTTTATATTCACAGGTAAGAGACATTTTAGGAGACATTTTGGACATTTAAAGGTGCCGTATCAATCAGTCATTAATTTGAGCTTGGTTGTTCAGTTGTTTTTCACACATTATCCTGTACCATTTGTACACTTACACAATAATCTCTTAAAAACATAAAAACATGATAAGTGCTTTTCAAAACGTTCAGGTGCCAGTTTTGCTGTGACGGTTTGCTGCATACTTCTTGATTTTTGGACAATAAAATGCTTTCTAATTAGATGCAGACAGCACACATCAGACTTATTTTGAGCTGCTTATACAACATACGTGGCCACACAGGCTTGTTAGATCTCAGAGGCTAAGCAGAGCCAGGTCCAGTCAGTACTTGAAAGGGAAACTGCTGGCAATATCAGGTGCCACAGTGGAGCTTACCTGTGCAGCAACAACCACACACTTTGGCAAAACTTTATAAAGACATGATTGACAGGCAGACTAACCAATCAGAAAGAAAGCATGCTCTGTTCATGTCAAAAACAGACATGGCTTCTTACACGGAAAAAAACCAAAAAAAAAAAAAAACAAGCGCAGATTATTTTCACAGAATCAAAAATTGAAGCCCCAAACTATGACATATCTCAGGTCAGAGAAGTTATATAATTTGTTCTGAATGTGACAGGTTTTGGAGAGGAGATGTCTTCTGCATTTGACACATAATATAAATTAGCAGCTGTGGTTGGACTGTCTCAAGTTTGGACGGCGGTTTTTTACACTCTATGGTCCGGTTCCAGACTTATCGGGATTCAAACTAAATGTAGAAAGAGGTGGCTGCTCTGGCAACCACGTGCCCATCGTCATCGTGTCCTTAGGCAAGGCACTTCGCCCACATTGTCTAGTACGAATGTGGCGTTTGTGTGTTGGTGGCGGTCGCAGGCGCAGATTGGCAGCCTCACTTTCGTTAGTCTGTCATCTGTGGCTACAATAGTATGTCACCACCAAAGAGTGTGGAGTGAATGAATACTGCTGTGAAGAGCTTTTGGTGTCTTGAAAGGCGCTGTATGAATGCAATGGTTATTTAATTAAGTAAAGGTGCATTGTGTAACTTTTCGGTTGGGGGTCCATCATCTGCTTGTTTCTATGGATATGTCATTACTCTGCCTGGAATGTTCCACAGTATGACATTAAACAGCTCTACCTTACATTTAATAAATTTTGACCCGGTGTTCTGTCGAAATGGGCTGCCCTGTTGAAATGCGCTACCCACAGCCTAGATTGACAGTGACGTATATCGATTCACACTACCCTGTTAAAAAAAGCTACTGTATTTTTCAGACTAAGTTGCACTTTTTTCACGGTTTGGGTGGTCCTGTGACTTATACTCCAGTGCAACTTATATATTAAGATCTTCAAACTGACAGCCACGAGAGACTCTAGGCTTGTGTGTCAGTATCTAGTACTACAATTACTCCTGTACTACTGTCACTTCACTCTACTGCGCATGTCTCCTGTAGAAAAAGCCGCTGTCTCACTGCAAATAGTGAAATATTCAGCCGAAAATGGTACTCGAGCAGCAGAAAGAAAGTTTGGAGTGAGTGAGAAACTTGTGATTGACTGGTGGAAAGCGAGGATGGAGAACACAGCTTCATGAAAACCAAGCGGGCGCCATGTAACTTTCCTGGAAGTCAGCGGATGAATCGACAAAGTCTGAACTTCAGTGATAATCGAAACCATCCTGTCGGGATTCAGAAAGGCCAGAATAATTCTAACTGGAACTGATGCTGAGTCTGACGACAGCTACACAGAAGAGGAAGCAGCGCTCTCTTTACATCATGGATCTATGGGTTACCTCTGTAGGTCGCATAGAAGTGACACTGAGGATGAAGAATTCAGTGGATTTAGTGATTTGAAGTGAGACCGTGAGTTTGATAAACTTATGTTGTGTTGTTTATGCTATAACTATCTGAATAACTGTTCATATGTTACGTTAACATATTAATGCCTATTCAGTCTGTTGTTCTCTGTTCTGTTATTACTAGAACTTGTCTTTCAAGATGAAATGTCAGTTCCTGGTCTCTGATTTTATAAAATACATTTCCCCAAAAAGTGCGACTTATAGTCCGGTGCAACTTATATATGTTTTTTTCTTCTTCATTGCACATTTTTTGGCTGGTGCGACTTATAGTCCGGAGCAACTTATTGTCTGGAAAATACGGTACTTTCCGTTTTTCCGTTTACAGTTGTATAGATCCAGTAAAGCCAACCTCCCCAGTTTTACAATATAGTTCTTTGGATTAGAGACAAGTTTGATGCTCTTGAACAGTGATCAGACCTTATAAATATCATTATTATTGTTGTTATTTTTGTTATTATTTTATTATTATTATATGATATAATATATGAATTTGGGTAGAGGGAGCTCATTTTGACAGGCCTATCCGATGTAATGAAAATGATAATGATAAAATCAAATATTAACTCAAAACTATTCAATCATCTAACATAGATATTCTGCTGCAAATCTAACGCACTCATGTCATTGCTTACATGCTTAACTGATCAAAACATACAATAAAACCAAAACACTTTTAAAATATTACTCCACTTCTGCCTCAGGAGCTCAAATTGATGACATTTAAACTGGAACATTGGCGCTAGGTAGCTCAAATCTACAGGACACTGGCAAAGGTGGCAGACATGACATCAAAGGTTTACGCTCTCTGTTAGACCATTTATTAGTAAATTACAATAAATATGTGCAAATAGTGCTAAAGTGCATTGTGGCAATCAGCTGATGGCGTGTCCAGGTGGAGTCGAGCCAGTGGAGCAGCGCTGGGCGTAGGAGGTGGGTCCCTTTTGTAGGTGGCTGGATGCGCTGGGCCCTTAGTGCATCCGGGTTACCTCAAAACAGAACAATATTAGTTATCATGCAACAACGGCACAACAGAGGCCGTGACAAAAAGGCATTCTGACTCTGAGTGGGGTCGCTTCTCAGCAAATCTGACCTGTAACTTGGCCTGGTTTTGTCTCTGTGAAGATAGAAAGGTTTAACGCCATACTGTGAAACGGTCTAGAGCAGGGGTGTCAAACTCATTTTGGTCCAGGGGCCGTATCCAACCTACTTTGATCCCAAAGGGGCCGGATCAGAAAACTCATGACATATAAACCCCAAAAATAACAATAATTTCAAATATTTGGGCAGAGAAACACAAATCTATTACAGAAATCTTTTTTAATTGATGAACTCTTTCTAATATTATAATATTATGAACAACCTGAAACTTTAAGAAAAATTCAATTTCAACACAATGTTTTAACATTAACTTGTATGCAAACAAAAATAAGTCAATTTTTCTTGGAAAATTCTGCACTCGGCTCCACTTTTCTCATGTTGGACATTTTGTTGATGAGGGGGTCACGGTCAACAGTCAAAACGATCGTCCTTTAAGAGCGTTTGGAAAGAGACAAGTCTTCATTTGTGCTGCTCTGGTGGGAGGGGCCACGTACAGAGACGCTGGAGACACTGCTATGCTCAGCACCGCAGAAAATTACCAATATTTTAATAGAAAATATTATTAAAATATTTTAGTAGAAAATCACCCAAGGGCCACATTAAAGGTCTTGGAGGGCCGGATCTGGCCCCCGGGCCTTATGTTTGACACCTGTGGTCTAGAGTCTAGACAAAGCAATAACATCTCCATGGAGAAAAGCGTTTGACGGACCCACCAGCAGAAAAAGTTACACAATGCATTTTTAACACATCTGTACTGCGGTCACGTTAAACAACAATAACAGTGGTGCTATCTCGTTCCAGTGGATCCTGCTGTACCAGACTGTGAAGAGGGACTGTACCTGCCCAAGTATCTTCCCCCGACTCCTGATCATGAAGCCAGAGTCTACACGGCCGTCCAACAGTCCATCGCGATCTTCATACAGTTCACTGCAAACTACTCCTCGTACTGATCTGTGTTCTAACGCTGTTTCCTCATCACAAACAGACCTGGACTTGTGTTTTGTTCCATTCACGCATGTTTAATTAACACAAAACCTTGCATATTTAGGCTGAGTTCTTCTCTCAAACAAAAAAAACACTTTGTCATGTGGTAATACAGGTACATGTTCTCCACTGTGTTTTTAAACTCCATACATCTTCTCTAGAATCATTTGGATCTTTTCAGCCCTGGAATTGCCAATCTCTACTGAACAAAATTGAAAGTTTGCTATTAACTTTAAAACTACCGCTTCATGACATTACAAGGTGGAACAGAGCATTTTGAGCTTTGGAGATGTAGTTAGACTAATAATAAACTATTACTCAAGCATGTGTGAATGAAACAAAACACAACTCCAGGTATATGTTTGAGGTAACAACATTATAACATGGCTTAAAGCTCATAAGAGGCAATTTTATGTAATATAGGATCTTTAAAGGTGCACTATGGAACTTTTCTGGTTTAAGTTTTTGCTAGTCTATACCAGTATACTAGTCTATGTGCTCTTACCCGGAATTTACACCAGGAGCGTCAGCAGCACGTACCATAGACAAAGCTTCAGTTTACATCAGAGGCAACAGAGCTGCTCCTGTGACATCAGCCTCTGTGGATTCTCACGTGCAAACACTAAACTTTTTACATTGTTTATGTTTTCATTGTTGATTGGATGAATTATGTTTTAAATTACAATACAATAGTTGACAACAAGAGAGACGATGCTTTGCAGAGATAACAAGCCGTGGCTGCAGTGCTGCATTAATTAAGCTCCTCACCATTTCACTTTGGCCGTCTGCACCACGTGCATTTTCCTTCAGAAGTTGTTCTTGTAAAGTAGCTCTCTGATGTTGTAAAGTGTTTTATATTTATTCCCCGTGGCTGTAAACTTTCCATAGTCCATCACGGCGCATTCCCCGAGCCCCTGGATATGACGCACGGTGTTTACACGACTGTAGTGGTTTCAGAGAACATGTTTTGAAAGGGCATCGTAAGTTTATTTTGACACCACATGCTTATTTCCTTAGCCAGGCTGGCACCACCTGGTGCCTCCGCTTAATTCCATTTCTCCCCAGCGACTAGGTCAGGAATTGGAATACACTAGATGGTTTGCAAAAACCCTGGATACAAATCCTGGATAAAAATCCAGGCATACATTCTGTGTTGGCAATGATTCTCGAGGTTTAAAGCCGGGACAAAGAGAATCTTTGGTAAATTTGATCTAAACAGGGCCGGGCCTGGTCAGTACTTGGATGGGAGACACTGGGAAAATAAGGAGCCACAGGAGGCGCCAGTGGCAATAACTGTTGTTGTGTCCTTAGGCAAGACACTTCACCCACATTCCCTTTTATGAAAGTGGTGTGTGTGTGAGTGATGGTGGTGGTCGAAGGGACCATCACTCACTTACTAGGCAATGTAGGTGAAATGCCTTGCCTAAGGACACAACAACAGTTTTTATGACTGGTGCCCAACTGTAGCACCTGACTTTCCCAGTGTCTCCCATCCAAGTACTGACCAGGCCCGGCCCTGTTTAGCCTCTGAGATCTGACAAGAGCAGGTTTTGACAAGCCGGTATGGTGTGAGTGATGGTGGTTGGAGGGGCCGATGGTGCAGATTGGCAGCCTCGCTTTCGTGAGTCTGCCTCAGGGCAGCTGTGGCTACAATAATAGTTTACCACCACTGGGTGTGGAGTGAATCAATAATGCTCTGTAAAGTCTCTTTGAGTGTCCAAAAAGTGCTATATAAAACTGATGCATTCTTATTATTATTATGATCATTCTAAAGCCATTCAGGAAAGCTTCATTTCTTTATTGTCAGTGGGACTTCTTTTTTAGTATTGATACCTGCTCAAATGAGTGTCTAGTTCTGATATTAGTTTTAGTATAAATTAGTATCAGATTTTCAGTACTTTTGACCTGGACTAAACCAGATGTTAAAGGTGTAGGAGTAACCTTTCTGGTCTGTCACCTGCTTGTCTCCATGGGGATGTTATTGGGGTCGCCTCTTCACAGATCTGACCTGTAACTTGGTCTTGCAACGTCTTCATACGGCTACATAAGTTTATTGGTATACTGTAGTCAAACATTCCAGAACAATGCAGTAACATGTCCATACAAGCGGGTGGTGGACTCTCTCCCAGTAAAGTTATGCAGTGCACCTTTAACCAAGAAAACTGACTAAAACATTGTAAAAAACATTTCAAAGTCCATTAATGAAGATCGGGTGTGTATTATTGAGTTGCTTACATTAGTTTTTGTTGCAGTTCTTCTGAGCTTCTCCACAACGGTCCCCTTAACATGACGGTGGAGCGCACTAGGCTGAAGGAGCACGCTCTGGTCTGGATTCCAACAGAAGAAGAAATAGGCCACCATCCCGTCTGCTACGTTCTACTGGTCACAACACCGTAAGAGAAATATGGTTTAAAAGCAGACCCATTCTTCAAAATGGGCTTTTCAGAGCTTTTAACCATGTTACAGTTGTTTCCCTTCAACATTTACTCGCCTGAAGTTGTATTTGGAGTGATTCGTGCATGTTTGAGTCATCTTTAATCGCTTATTTTCAAGATGCCATAGGACTGGGTCTCATCACGTAGTCATTTTGCTCTGCTCTACTGTGATGTGCATCTATCCACAGGAGGGACTCACATCATGCAGCGCTTTGTTGTCATGACCTTTGCAGCGATGTCAGTTCCCATTGGACACCACAGTTTTCTAACACGGAAATCAGTGGACTTGTTTCTTTCATTAAGTCATACAATCAATATTCTAATTTAAAATGTCCAAATTATAACAGAATAATCCAGGGGTGTCACAGATTATAACTATACCAAACACAAGCACAATAGGTCTTCTTTAAAGGCCCTGGATCCAATTTAGTCCAATACATTTCCTGTATTTTTCAGTTTGAAAAGAACTACCGTATTTTATACCGTATTTTCCGCACTATAGGGTACACTTCAAAGCCTTTAATTTAATCAAAAAACGACTGCATGCCTTATAATCCAGAGCACCTTATATGTGGGGATGTGGGCGTGCTGGACGCTGTAATCACCCAACTGTTTGAACTATTATGAGTTATTGTGAATACACGAACAATTTAGCGTCTCAGACAGTATTTTTTTACGTGTTACAATTGAACAAAGTTGAGAGTTATTGTGAACGCGTTAAATAAAGTTTGACTGACTTATCTAACTGTTGTGTTTCGTTTAATGTGCCTTATAGTCTGGTGTTGTTTATATGTGAAAAAAGTTCGAAAATAGACCATTCAGTGACAGTAACTTATTTTTGACACTTTTGGCAGGGTGGGCAAACATCAGTCTGAGCTTCGCTGTCTTGTGGTGACAGTCGTGAAAGGTGAGTTTTGGGTTTGAAATAAATCAAAATCAAATTCTCCAGTAACAAAAACACATTCAATAAAAACAAATAAATCCTTTGTTGTTTTGGAAACAGAGCCTAAGTTTCTGAGCATGACTCCAGCCAATGGAACCTCCCTCTCCGTCACTGTGAACCAGCCCATTATCCTGTTCATTGACGTGGAAACTCCAACAAAGTAAGAAACTCTGCATAACACTGGAGATTTAAGGTCGAAAGCAGATATGCTAAAAAGTCCAAATATCGAACTCTAGTAAAAATAATAGCAGTAGTAAAATATTTTCTTAAGTATTATATTTTTAACTGTGTTTTGTTCAAATGACTTGTAAAGTGCCACAAATCAGGCTACTTGGAATGTTCCACAATATGGCATTATACAGCACTATCTTCATTGCATTTTTTTTTTTTGTCTATTAACATGTGTGGTTTTTGCAGTTTTTACCAACAACAAACACCTGCATGCAGACTAAATCTGGCCTAAACCAGGTCTACTGTACAATTACCATATTTGCACACTATAGGGCGCAAAATATGCCATTGAATGGTCTATTTAAAAAAAAATTTCACATATAAACCACACCGGACTATAAAGCGCATTAAACGAAACACAAGTTAGATAAGTCAGTCAAACTTTATTTAACACGTTCACAATAACTCTCAACTTTGTTCAATTGTAATGTGTAAAAAAAAAAACTGTCTGAGATGCTAAATTGTTCGTGTATTCACAATAAGTCATAATAGTTCAAACAGTTGGGTGATTACGGCGTCCATCACGTCCACATCCCTCTCGTCATTATCCGAGTCAGTGTGGTTACTGTTCCCTGGCAGTTCAGTGATGATTCTGGTCTTGGTGAAAGCTCGGACCACAGTTGATACTGATCCTTAGTCCAGGCGTCCACGATCCATTGGCAGATCGTGGTGTAAGTGGCTCGGCGCTGTCTCTCTGTCTTGGTGAATGTGTGTTCTCCTTCTCTCATCCACTGCTCCCACACAGCTCACACTTTCACTTTATAACAGCCTTGAGTTTAAAGTGGGTGTTGTGAGTGTGTCTCTTGACAGGTGCATTTTTATATTAAAAGAACATCACAGAATCACAGTATGTATTACTCCTGATGCTCCTGACTACGGGAGCCGTAATGATGCAAGTGGTGCGGCTTTGTAGTTTACTAAAGTCGTACTAAGACACCCCAATAAATTCATATATAAGGTGCTCTGGATTATAAGGCGCGCAGTCGTTTTTTGATTAAATTAAAGGCTTTTAAGTGTGCCCTGTAGTGAGGAAAATACGGTAAACCCGGCCTAAACCAGGTCTATCTTCGGACTTAACCCAGCCCAAACCAGGGCTACTTTAAGACTAAACCCTCTGCAGCACAGAGGGACATCCAGAAGAACTTGGTTGGACACTGGACTCAGTTAAACAGATCTTTAACACATGAAATGACAATTGAAAGCCAATAGTTTTTCAGGTAGTCACTCTCACCTTTGTGTTGAAAATCAAACTCCTAAACAGGACCATGAACACTTGGACTGATCACAGGTTCCTGAAAATGTGCTCTTTAAATCCATTTTGTATGTAGAAGAGTTAGAAGAGTTACAGAGCTTCTGACAGAGTAGTGCTTTCGGTTAGTTTCCCCCTCCCCTGGGAATATTGATGACATCAGCCACACAGTATCACTCCCCTTTAAGATGTTTTTTTAAATGATTTTCTGTTTGTATTTTGTGTTTCAGAGATTATGAACTCGTAGTCTCAGGTCCAAATAATATGACAAAATCAAGACTAGGAAGCGGCCTGTTTTTGTTGAGATGGACCCCGACCGACGCAGAGGCGGGGAAAACCTTCAGCATTACCTTCTCTGTAATATTCTCAAATTTTATCTTCAGGTAAGTTTACTATATATACAGTATAATCTATAATATTTCACATTTGTTGCTAAAAGTGTCCTGAATGTTGCAACTATTGTCTGATGTCTGTTCTAATGTTGTTTCCTCGTCACAAACAGACCTGAAGTTGTGCTTTGTTTCATTCACACAAGTAACACACAAACCTGCAGATTTAGGCTGAATTCTTCTCTCAAATCACCTTGTGATGTCATGTGGTAATATAGGAAGGGCTCCACTGTGTTTTTAAAGTCCATACACCTTCACTATAAACATTGGGATGATTTCAGTCCTGGCATTGCCAATCTCTACTAAAGGTAAACTGTAGTGTTAACATGAAAACTATCACTTCATGACATCACAAGATGGAACAGACCATGTTCAGCTTTGGAAATGTATACAAGGGTTTTATATATATATATATATATATATATATATATATATATATATATGCAGATATTTATTGCAATACATTGAGCTCTCCAAGACCTTTAATCTGACCCTCGGTTGAATTTCTACTAAAATATTTTAATTCTATTTTTTATTAAAATCTGGTTAATTTTCTGTGGTGTTTATCACAGCAGCGTCTCCAGTGTCTCTGTACGTGGCCCCTCCCACCAGAGCAGCACAAATGAAGACTTGTCTCTTTCCAAACGCTCTTAAAGGACGATCGTTTTGACTGTTGACCGTGACACCCTCATCAGAAAAATGTCCAAAATGAGAAATGTTGTTGGTGCAAAAAAAAATTGCCTGATGCGGCACTAGGTGACACAGCCTGGTAGGCAAAAAAATCTTAGAAAACAGAAACCAAATGACATGCCTCTTTTTGTTTTTCCTCGCTTGCTGCTCAGGGCTTCTGTAGCTGGTCAAATGTGTGAATGAAACAAAACACAAGTCTAGGTATGTTTTTAGGAGGTAACAACATTCTAACATGGCTTAACGCTCACAAGAGTCAATTTTGTGTGACAGTAAATCTGAGCAATAAAAACACTTAATTGTCCTAAAATTAATACTAAAGACCATTCTAGACAAATAACATCTCCATGTACACAAGTCCCAGGAGAAAAGTTACATAGTTCAGCTTTAATGTAATGATAAAGTAAAGATAAAATGTATTTGTCTCTTCAGCCCAGACCCCCTGTCTAACTATTATCAGTCGGAGATTCGAACCATCACCGTAACCGTGAAGAAGGGTAAGGACATTTAGATCTTAGTTTAAAGGTGCACTGTGTAACTTTTCTAGTGGAGGATCCGTCACCGGTTTGTTTCCATGGAGATTGCTCTTCCTGGAATGTTCCACAGTATGACATTAAACAGCTCTACTTTACATTTATTCAATAGATGTATCACGAATTTCAGACTTCTGGTCATTGCACAATTCATACTGGGAAGGATTTACCGAAAAAGTGAGCATCAAACCTCCATGTTTGTTTTCCCAGTGGGATGTGTCTGTTGACAAAGCCAGGCCTTTCTAGTCTTTTGAACCATATCACTTTTGTTTCTGGTTCTGATATTGTCATATTTTAGTTTTGGGATTCGGACATTGTAATTGTGTGGTTGTTGGATCCTAACACTGGGAAACGGGTCGAGAAATTTGTTTGTGAACTTCATAAATGCAAAAGGGAATCAGATGTGTGTGACTGCAAACCTCTGTTCAAACTGTTTCTCTTCACAACAGAATTGAAAAATAGTGAAAGGTGAAGGTGATGGGCAGGATTGATCCACAGGAAGGACCAAAAATGAAACATTTGTCTGCCTAAATCATCCTGAATTTGCAGTGAACATTTTGTATGTGGAGTGTCATCACAGTAAAATCCCGATCCCTCACTCCATCTTGGTTACAAATTTAAAAGTCAACGCCAAAGTGAAAGGCACCAGATGTTCACCAAGAAACACCTTCCACTGCAAAGAGACCAAGACATGATGTTGCTGTAAAACCACAAGAACAAGAAAGTGCAGCTCAGTCTGTTTGTCTTCTGCACCTCTCACTTAAACTGGATCCCGCGTTGATGTCGCTCCACATATAAAATGTTCACTGCAAACTCAGGATGATTTAGTCAGTCAAATGTTTCCTTTTTGGTTCTTCCTGTGGATCAATCCTGCCCATCACCTTCACCTTTCACTATTTTTCAATTCTGTTGGGAAGGGAAACGGTTTGAACAGAGGTTTGCAGTCACACACATCTGATTCCCTTGTGCAGTTGAAGTTCGCAAACTTCCGAAGCCCATTTCTCGAGCCGTTTTCCGCTGTTAGGATCCAACAACCACACAATTACGATGTCCGAATCCCAAAACTAAAATATGACAATATCAGAACCAGAAACAAAAGTGATATGGTTCAAAAGACTAGAAAGGCCTGGCTTTGTCAACAGACACATCCCACTGGGCAAACAAACATGGAGGTTTGATGCTCACTTTTTCGGAAAATCCTTCCCAGTATGAATTGCACAATGACCGGAAGTCCGAAATTCATGATGCACGTATTACAGGTGGTTTTAGAGCTCAAAAATACCTAGAAAAAAAGGCATTCTGACTATGAGTAGGGTTGCCTCTCCACTGATCTGACATGTAACTTGGTCCAGTTTGATCTCCATGATGATAGAAAGGTTTAATGCCATACTGTGGAACATTCCAGACAAAGCAATGACATCTTCCAGGAGAAATGCATTTGACGGAGCCTCCATCAGAAAAGTTACACAGTGCATCTTTCATTTCACAGAGGTAAAAAATAAATCTAAAATTACCTCACACTTTTATATTTGTTTTCTTTTCAGCTCCACCGAAGCCCGTAGGTTCTGGTGAGTGTTCTGTGTCAAAACCCTTATTTATGTACTGACAGCGTGCAACCAGCGGGGGGCAGCACTCACTTACATCGACTCTAGTAACTTTTGAAATAAATGAGTACTTTTCTAGCAGCATACTTTTACTCCTACTTGAGTAATATTTGTATTGAAGTAGCAGTACTGTTGTGCTTCCTCTTCCCATTGTGAGGAAGTCTGAAGTAACAAAAACTTTACATGACAATATGAAATTATTTGAACGTTTATGTTTCTTGCAGCTCCTTCAAATATTTTCTTCTAATTTTTGAATCTGTACTTTGAAAACACCAGATTTTGTGACTTATTTCATGTTTTGTCCTTCAGATTACATTCACTTCAAATTATAAATCAGATACACGTGGACAGTTACAATTGCTTTAGTAATTTCTTGAACTACCACTTTGTACTTTTACTTGAATAAAATTATTCTGAAGTAACACGACTCTTACACAATGGTGAAACAAGTACTCGATTTTGTAAATATAATAGAGCAAAGTATGGATACTTTATGGACTGCTTTCAAATGTAGTGAAGTACAAGTATACACTGTAAAATGCACACGTTCCATCTCTGTGTAACCTTCTTTGGCTTTTCTTTTAGTATTTCTCCGAACAAAGATCATCTCTGCGACGCCGCTCTCTAAAGACTTCATCCAGAACAGCATCCTAAATCAGGCAGGTCCTTCTTTTATTTATGCCTTAATTATTGTTTTATTTTCAATTCCTAAGGATGTAACAATAACCAAAATATCGTGACATTGTATCGTCAAAGTTCTCACAATAATATCATGGACCATCACAATATATCGAATTACAAGTCTCTTTGCTTAAATTAAGAGTGATGGTGCAACAATAGCTAAAAAAAAAAGACAGAGGGAACTACATAGATCATGATTCTTTGCTCCATTTCAGTGCAGACTACAAGAAGAAATAACAGTTCTAAGCACTTTTAAGTCTTAGTTCTTTGGATTAAGTCTTGTCAAGGCATTTTAAGAAGTAGCATATTAACAATTTTGTTCGCAGCCTCCACAAAATATTAGGGATGTCCCAATCACATTTTTTTGCCCCCAAATCCGAGTCCTTTGATTTTGAGTATCTGCCGATACCGAGTCCCGATCCGATACTTCTATAAAACATTATGAAATAAACTAAGAGCAAAGAATAAGATCCAGGATGTGTGGGGGATCAGATTGTGTTGATTTCAATGTGTAGTATTTGGGCTGAACTTGTGTGAAAAATTAACTTTTCTAACTGTGCACCATCACTGTTGAAAATCTTCACTTTTCATAGTAAGTCTTTATTTATATAGCGCTTTCCTGTCCCCAAAGACACTTTACACAGCTTTATTCCATTGCCATGACACTCAGCACCATCAGTCCCACCGACCACCACCATCACCCTAGGCAATGTGGGTGAAGTGTCTTGCCTAAGGACACAATGATTGAATTGATTGTATTTAACTGACCTTGACTATCAACTGTTTATGGAGACCTGTGGCATGTTTTGGGGTGATGGGGGAAACCCATCCAGACTCGGGGAGAAACATGCAAACTCCACACAGAAAGGCCCGGATGACCCAGGGATCGAACCCAGAACCTTCTTGCTGTCAGGCATGAGTGCTAACCACTCAGCCATCGTGCCACCACACACATAGTCTGGTCTTGGAATGTGTAACTTAATAAACTTAATGAACTGGACAAAACAGGAACCAGACCAGAACCAGATCAGACCTGAGACTCGACTCTGCACAATCTGCACTTTGTGTATTTGATATTATATGAAAGCCTGTAATGCACAGGCTTGACAGAAGCCCCACAGCCTCTCTCCCCCGCACCGCCACCACATCCACAAACCCACCGCCCAATAGTGCCAGCTCCGCTGCGCAACAGCACTGGTTGTTTTGGTTGCAACGAACAGCACCATGTGATGACGCCATCGGCCGCGCAGGTGTGAACAAGGGCCACAGAACCACAGGTAACAGACAGTCGTGCTGATTGGACGTCCCTGAGCAAATCCTGCACCTCAGAAAAACTGTTGTGTGCTGTGTGTCCTGTGTGTTATATACGTATATTTATCCGATACCTGACAGGAACATAACGTCAGAGTCTGGATCGAGTCCACAGTCACATGATTGGATCGGGACAACCCTACAAAATATCCCAAATATCGTACGTGAGATGTATGTTGTGAAAATATCTTAGAGAGATTTGGATATCGTTGGGACATTCCTATTTGTGAGCCTCCCCTCCATATCGTGAGCTTTCCCACGATATCGCAATAAATATCGCACCATGAGGTTCATACCGTGACGATATTGTATCGTGAGACTTGGATATCGTTACACCCCTATCAATTCCTAATACAGAAGCAGCCCATTGCTCTTGAATGTTTTGTGTGTGTGGAGTCTGCATGTTCTTCAGTGTCTGCGTTGGTTTTCTCTGCCACTAAACACATGTACAATAGGCCCCTCCTGTTTTGGGTCAGGTGTAGAAATGATGTCTTGAAATGATCTCATAAAACCCCAAGTTCATTCCTTGTTTTATGTTTTATTTCCTTTAAAAAAAAAATTATATTCAAAGGTGCATTGTGTAACTTTTCTGGTGGAGGCTCCTGTCTGGAATGTTCCACAATATGACATTAAACCTTTCTATCTTCATGGAGATCAAACTGGACCAAGTTACATGTCAGATCAGTGAAGAGGCAACCCCACTCATAGTCAGAATGCCTTTTTTTCTAGGTATTTTTGAGCTCTAAAACCACCTATAATACGTGCATCATGAATTTCGGACTTTCGGTCATTGTGCAATTCATACTGGGAAGGATTTTCCGAAAAAGTGAGCATCAAACCTCCATGTTTGTTTTTCCAGTGGGACGTGTCTATTGTCAAAGCCAGTCAGAATGCATGTTTTTTAAGCACTAAAACCACCTGTAATTGAATACATGTAAGATAGAGCTGTTTTAATGTCATACTGTGGAACATTCCAGGCAATGACATATCCATAAAAACGAGCAGGTGATGGACCCCCAATTCAAGTTTTTTACAACACAGTTGAATAATTTCAGACTTATTTCAGCTCAAAGAAGAGTTGGTGAACAGTGGCCTGACTCCACAGATCACTCTGCGCCTCGTGAGCCACAGGAAGATCGAAGAAACACCGCCAAAATAAACGCTCGACAGGATTTTGTAAATAAAAATGGAGAATATGAATCAAAATAAAACATTCTTTACAAGTTTATGTCCATTTTTACTTGTTTATACTTTACTTAAAGGTGCACTGTGTAACTTTTTGGTTGGGACTGTCACCAGCTTTTTTCTATGGTGATGTATTTATTATTTTTGTGGTATTGGAATCTGTATTGAGTATCGAGTCTATTCCCAGTGTTGGGAAGGTGACTTTTAAAACATATTCCCCTACAGATTACAGATTACATTTCCCAAAATGTAGTTTGTAACGTAATCCATTAAGTTACTTAAAGTGAGTAACGTAATCTGAATACTGTGGAATACTTGATATTGTCATGTTTTCTAAAACGACATGAATGTAACAACCACATCTTGAAAATTCTTGTTTGTTTTCTTCAAATTGTCTGTTGAGCCCAAGTCTCCATGAACAGACTTTTGTTTTACTGTAGAGAAGCAAAGACTAGGAAATCTTAACATTAGTTTTTATCTGCTAAAAGACAATAAAAAGTCCAGACTTTCCTTAACCATATTAAAAATATTACTGATAGAGAAAAGATTTTATATGAGATATGCTTTAAATTATGTCCACCTACTGTTAGGTGTTACATTGTTTAGCCCTGGTTTTAGTCCTGGTTTAATCATGGTTTTAGTCCTGATTTTGCTCGAAATGTGAAAACAGGAAAATACCGTCCTGTATTTCATTTATATCAACAAAGTAACTGTAATCCAATTACCACTCACTGAAACAGTAACTGTAACTGAATACAGTTACTCTGAATTTGTACTCTGATTACGTAACGCTGGTACATGTAATCTGTTACTCCCCAACACTGTCTATTCATTAGTATCGAAATTGATTTGAACTTTTATTATCAGATTATCAGTCACTGTCACTATCACTCTCCTCCTCTTCATCCTCCTCCTCCTCTTCTTCTTCTTCTTCTTTTTTTGTTTTCAGTCTCCTCCACAAGTCCAGAGAAGAAGTCATTGTCTCCGTGGGCCTTCTTGCTCAGAGATTTCAGTTTTCCGTCCTTCCTCTTCCTCTTGCGGTATTCCTGGACTTTGGATTGGGGCAGAGAGCTGATGTCCCAGAACTTGACCAGCGAGTCGTGACCGGAGCTGACCAGGAAGTGCCCGCAGTGAGATCGGGCCAGCTCCTCTATGGGCTCCCCCACGTGCTGACCCACGCAGCCGATCACGCGATTCGGTAGCAGGTTTATCGCTCTGAAAAAAAAAAAAAAAAAAAAAGAGAAAAGAATAAGAAAAAGTGACATTGAAGGTGTGTAACTTTTCTGGTGGATGGTCTGTCAAATGCTTTTCTCCACAGAGATGTTATTGCTCTGTAACCTGAGTATGTTTCAGTATCGTATTTTTGAGCTATAAAACCACCTGTAATTGAATAAATATAAGGTAGAGCTGTTTACTGCGAAACATTCCAGGCAGAGCAGTGACGTATCCATAGAAACAAGCAGGTGACGAACCCCCAATGAAAAAGTTACACAATGCAGCTTTAAAGAAGACATACTGTGCTTTTATGACACTAATTTTGACTTAATCTGGTAGATTTTTCTTAAATTTAAAACCTACAAATTGGCAAACTGTGGAAAAAAAATTAAAATTTCATTTTAATTCATAAATATAATTGTTAGGGGTGTAACAATATCCAAGTCTCATGATACGATATCGTCATGGTAAGAACCGATACGATATTTATTGCAATATCATGGTGAGGAGGCTCATGATTAGGGATGTAATAATACCCAATATTTTCACAATATACATCTCACAGTAATAATAATACTACTTCACATACATGATTTGTAACACACAGAAGGTTAGTGATAAAGTTCACAGGAAGTAGAGTCACTTACTAATCTGTAGCGTCGATCTGCACTGTGTGGATGTAAACAGACACACGTGAGGAACTACTCCCGCCTTTTTACTTTTAATGCTTCAAACTGGATTAAAAGCGCTGTTTATGGACTGAGTGTCATTATTTGCAGAGGACAAATTGTAACGGATAATGTGGATGAGATGGTGCAGTTTTAATTTACCATTTTACGACAGGTGAGTAATAAAGCCTTCTCATCATTTTTTCTATTTCCTGAGTTTGTATCTTACGCTTCTGTGTCCTTCACACCGTCTGCTCCTGACGCTCTGTTTTATTGGCTGTTACCGTAGTGTTGCAGATGTTTAGTTGTTACGATCTGACACTGACACAACACACGAGGAACGCAGCGGCTTCAAAATCGTACACAAAGACATAAAGTCGGGTCACGCCTCCTTGAACTCGAGGAGAAGCAAATCTCAGCCAAAATCGGTCAAATTCTCCTGTAGCGTGTGACGGCCTTGAGACTTAGATAAACGTTATTGATCCACAAGGGAAATAATTTGGGCACAGTAGTTCGCATATCACAATATTTTATAAATATAAACTGTAATAAGAAATTTGAAATAAGTATCACCTTATATATCCGTCCATAGAGGCTGTGCACATGATGCTGTCTGTAATGGGCTGGATGCAGTCTACAGATTCAGCTTTGACGGCGAATCGGTCACTCGTCGCTCCAAATCCGTTCCAGTTGAAGATGTAGATGGTCCCTTCGCTGGATCCGCACACGACCTTCTTCCCTCGCTTCATGAGGGCCACAGAGGTCAGGTCCCCGCTCTGAAACTCAGACTGAAGCTCAAAACGTCTGCGCTTCAGGTGGAACACGCCCATAGTGCCGTCACCGCTGGAAACGAGAGGAGGTGGTATGTTAGCATGGAGTATATTTAAGAATAAACTAGGACTAATACTGGACTTAATACTGGTCTAATTGGTCTAATACTGGACTAAAAAAACAAACAAAACTGCAGTAAAACCTCGACTAAGACTGGGACTAAAACTGATCTAATATTGGACAAAAACTTGATTTAAAATGTGACAAAAAATGTAACTAAAAACTAAAATTTTGAGTTAAAACTGGGCTAAAACCTCACTAAAATTGGACTTAAAGTGGAATAAACTATTCTAAAAACTGGTCTAAAACGGTCAGACCTGGCGGTGAGCAGGATCCGTTTGGCCTGGTCCACTGTGATGCTGCTGATGTAGTCGTTGTGATGTTTCAGATCCATGATGGACGTCCCCTTCCTCATGTCCCACACCTGCAGACACAGAAATGACAAGTATATTACATAATATATGAAAAAAAAAAATAATCATGTTTTACTCAGAACTAAACCACAAGTCTTGATATATACCTGAAAGAAAGTTATGTTTTTCACACCCAAAAACTATGTAACCAGGGACTACACCCACAGACTGCATTTAACCTTGACTAAACCATAAAATATAGTTAAACATTTGGTAGGTTTATGCCTGATATAATGTCAACAGCAGGACTAAACAGGACTAAACCAGGACTAAAACAGGACTAAACTACCATATTTTCCGCACTATAGGGCGCACTTAAAAGTCTTTAATTTCATCAAAAAATGACTGTGCGCCTTATAATCCAGAGCGCCTTATATATGAATTTATTGGGGTGTCTTAGTACGACTTTAGTAAACTACAAAGCCGCACCACTTGCAGCATTACGGCTCCCGTAGTCAGGAGCATCAGAAATAATGAGCTTTCACCAAGACCAGAATCATCACTGAACTGCCAGGGAACAGTAACCACACTGACTCGGATAATGACGAGAGGGATGTGGACGTGCTGGACGCTGTAATCAAGCAACTGTTTGAACTATTATGAGTTATTGTGAATACACGAACAATTTAGTGTCTCAGACAGTATTTTTTTACACGTTACAACTGAACAAAGTTGAGAGTTATTGTGAACGTATTAAATAAAGTTTGACTGATTGATCTAACTGTTGTGTTTCGTTTAATGCGCCTTTTAGTCCAGGGCAGTTTATATGTGAAAAAAGTTCAAAAAAACCATTATAGTGCGCAAAATATGGTACTACTAAACAAAGATTAAACCAGGACCAAACCAGGACCTAAATGAACCAAACTAGGACCTAAACCAGGACTAAACAAGGACTAAACCAAGACCTAAACCAGGGACCAAACCTAGACCTAGACCAGGACTTCAATAAAAGTGTGAACCTTGAGTGTCCCTGCGTCGTCTCCGGTGGCGAGCAGGTTTTCGTCGATGATCTTGAGAGCGTTGATGGGAGCGGTGTGAGCTCCTCTGATCCTCGTCACCAGTTTTCCGCTCTCTGCCTCCAGGACGTGCACGGCTTTGTCCCTGGACACAGAGAACAGCTTCTGTCCGTCTGCAGAGAAACGGACCGCTCTGCAGGACTTCATGTGGTGCCCTGAGGAGCGAGAGGACGATTAACAAGACGAATTCAGATTCCTTATTAAAGAAAAATGGGGTAACAGTGGCTGAGTGTTTAGAGCAGTGGTCCCTTAAACCGAAGCTTGAGCCAAGTTCTGTCATTGTTCTGTCACTTTGACATGTGACTGACTTGCATTACAAGAGTAAGGAATTAAAAAGCATAGATATTTTTGGCATCCACAAACCCTTCTGCACACAAAAACAAAATAAAGAATAGCAGGTTAAATGAAGTTGGCTGGTTGGGAATTGCACCCCTCCCTCCTATATGTTTGAAAGTCAATTCAGTTTTTGGATCTTTTTAGGCTTAGCAGGACTAACAGAACCAAAGAAGGACTAAACCAGGATTAAACCAGGCTCTAAACTGACACTAAATCAGGACTAAACCAAGTCTAAACCAGGACTAAACCAGGCTCTAATCTGACATGAAATCAGGACTAAACCAGGTCTAAATCAGGACTAAAACAGGCTCTAAACTGAGACTAAACCAGGCCTAAGTCAGGTCTAACCCAGTCCTACCTGAGGACCACAGCTCTCGGGTCTGTCCCTCGGTGCAGGAGTATTCGTAGGCGTACACGTCTCCGTCCACGTCTCCGCACACGATCACGTCTCTGCTCGGGTGAAGAGCGATGGAGTTGGCGATGGCCTCCAGACGCAGGTCCTCCGGTGTGTCCAGGACCCGCGGGGGGCGCTCTTTCTCCTCCTCGTCATCGTCTTCATCACTATTAGACCTGTTGAAAACAAATGTGTATAAAGTAAATACAAACTAGTAATAGTTATTAGTAACAGTTGCACACATTGCTTATATTTGGAAAAAAAAAAATAGAAAAACGGATATCGAGTTTCCTATACTGATGCTAGAATCATCATTCCATTTACTGCTGTTTTTATTATTGCTTTATACTATCGAGTCTGTTTAAAAAAGTGTCACATGAATAAAATATAATATTATTTGCTTTTTAATAGTATTAATAATATTTTTCCTCATATAAATGAATTACTGTAACCAAGAAATTTCCACTACAAACCTTTGATAAAGTGTTCACAACCTGTCTCCAAGTAGATGTTATTATTCTACCAGGGATGTTACTTAGTATGGCATTAAACATTCTCCATGGAAACTAGCGCATTATGCCGCCAAGCTACAGGTCAGGTCTGTGGAGAGGCGACCCCACTCACAGTAAGAACATCCGCAGACACTCATGTCTCAAAGTAACAAACTGGGTCTAAGAATCAAACCAGGACTAAACCAGGACTAAACCAGGACTAAACCAGGACTAAACCAGGACTAAACCAGGACTAAACCAGGACTAAACCAGGGCTATACACAATAACAAAGGTCTCATTATGACTACACCAGGACCAAAACAAGACTAAAATCAGTGACACCAAAGGGATGAACCCATGTCTAAACCAGGACTAAACAAGCACTAAACCTGGGATGACCACATTTTCAAAATTAGAAACTGGGACACACCCGGGTTGGGATGCTTGGTATAAATAAAACTGTGAAAAAAGATGTAGCATTAACCATTCCTGACTCAGGTGTAGGTCAGTGTTTAATCTGAGAGACTAAATACAGAAGCGCAGCCTTTTGTACAATACAATTTATGCACCTCTGGTTTAGACCTGGTTTAGAACTGATATAGTCATATTTTAGCCCAAGTTTAGTCCTGCTTTAGACCTGGTTTGGTCCTGTTTTTAGACCTGGTTTAGACCTGGTTTAGACCTGCTCTAGATCTGGTTTAGACCTGAAATAGACATGATATAGACCTGGTTTAGAACTGACATAGTCCTACTTTAGCCCAAGTTTAGTCCTGGTTTAGAACTGATACAGTCCTTCTTCAGTCCAAGGTTAGTCCCGCTTTAGACCTGGTTTAGACCTGAAACAGACCTGAAATAGTGCTGGTTTAGACTTGGTTTAGAACTGACATAGTCCTACTTTAGCCCAAGTTTAGACCTGGTTTAGACCTGAAATAGACCTGATATAGTCCTGGTTTAGATCACATTGGTCCAAAATAGACACACCTGGGACATGTCTTGTATAAAACTGGGACACATCACTGGTTTTGGATAAATCTGCTGGGACAGGGGACACAGGCTCAAAACTGGGACTGTCCCGGGTAAATAGGGACGTCTGGTCACCCTAACTGAACCATAGTCTAAACCAGGACTAACCAAGGACTAACCCAGGATTAAACTAAGATCAGATCAACACAAAAGTAATAATTAACGCGAGTATTTCAGACTTAGTTCGGGTAAATGAACAGACTCATGCTAAACGTACGAGCGATTATTATTAAAACACGCTCACCCTTCACCAGAGTTTTTACCCTCCTCTTTGTCCTGGTTTTGGTCCGGGTCTGGGTCCGGTTCGGGTTCACATAAGTCCGTTTCTTTAGTTTGATCGGCTTCTGTCGCGTTTTCTGTCACGTGCTCTGTGGGCGCCGACATGTTGTTTACACTCGGCTTCTTCAGCGCTGGGTTTGGGAACACAGCGCCCTCTGCCACACCGCACCGGTATTACACCAACAACCCTTTAATTCCCAAAGATCTCTGTTTCCTCATTCAGACTCTGATCATTCTGACCAAATATCATTAACACAAAACAAAATAGACTCAAAATAATAATGGACACCACTATAATAATGAAATACAACAATATTTCAAGATCAAACACAAAAAAGTGATTAAAACATACAATATCTATAGGAAATAGATAGATGCACTTTATTTAATTCAGTTAAGTGTATTTGAGTTTTTCGCTTGTGTAGTAAAATGTGTTGTTTGTGTGATTTTGTGCTGTTTGTGTGCCTTGATGTCCCTGAATGTCCCCTGTCTTGTTGACTGTGTATTTGAGTATGCTGATTTAATAAATACTACTACTACTACTAATAAATAAATAAATACTACTACTACTACTACTACTACTACTACTACTACTACTACTACTACTACTACTACTACTAATAATAATAATAATAATAATAATAATAATAATAATAATAATAATAATAATAATAATAATAATAATAATAATAAAAGGCAGTGTAGCTACATTTTAAATTATTAAATTGATCAGAAAATAAAGCTAAAGTTGTTTCCTCATCACAAACATACCTGGAGTCACCCCCCATAGCTTCAGAATATCCCTTATGGTCATTTTCAAAGACTACGGTGGATTTGTGACACTGAATCTAATTTTGAAAAAAATGCCCAAGATATGAGCTGTAAATTTAAAAACAGAGGCTATACAAAGAGCACTGTGTCCTCAGCCTCCAATCAGGCCAAAACTCTCAATAGAAAAGAACTGTTGACTCAGAAACCAAAGAAAAATGTGAGTCCTTATCAAGTGTATTTTATAACTGAATATGGCACTGAAGCAAACTGAATCAAAAGCCCTACACTCAGTGATAGACCGGTGAACAGTTCTCTCCCTCCACTGAAACAAAACACATGGCTGGACACTAAGGCTGCTACAGATGTGGTAACTGTACCTATTGTGAACACATACAACAGACTAACTCGTTCATTACATCAGGTCTAAGTTTTGATATCAGGACATTCATTAACTGTTACACCACTTATGTAGTGTACAGGCTCGAATGCCCATGTGTTCGTTTTTACATAGGCTGAACAAAACACAAACTGAAACACGGACTGGCTGAGCACAAACAGGCTGTGAGGACCTGTAACCCCCTGTATCCTATGGTCATGCATTACAAAGAAGCCAACCATGGCAGCTGGAAAAGCCTAAAAGTCTGTGCAATTGAAAATATTAAAGAAACAATAGGAGGAGGAGATAGACTGAAAAAATCTGTTACAGACAGAGACCTACTGGATCTACACTCTCAAGGCCACACAGTTCCCAGGACTCAGTGGAGAGATTTCTCCCTCTTCCTTTAAAACCACAATATTTAATATGTTTTGCTGTCCAAAATGACAGTAGTGCAGACTCTGGAGAAGGCTCTGGATCAGTTCAAAGTCCCAGCTGAAGTTCATATAAAACCCCAAAAACATCAAGAAGCTGGGCAAAGCCGCAGCCAGAGACGTGATCCATGAATACGGCTCTGCCTCCAAGCTCCTGGTGATGGCTTTGGGACCAGATCCCACAGACTTCCAGAAGGAGGCTATAAAACATTTGAACTTCCATCTCAGCGCCTTCAGGAACTGGTCCAGAACTGTTCTGGCAAGGATCTTTCCACTGTGGGACAAGCCCAAGAAGAGGACCTGTTAGACAGCGCCCCCTGTGTCCTTTAAGAGTCACTTGTCACTGGACACTTGAAGTTGAGATGTTTCACTTTCACCCAGAGCTCATTTTAAGAGTCAAATCACCGAATGGATGTTGAAGTGTTTCCATTTCAAAAACTGTTCAGATGAAACCTGCGACTCCTTTTCTACCTCGGACAAAACGAGGATCACACCGACTCACAGAGACACAACACCTTTATTCAAAAGCATTCAAAAATAAATCAACATTTCTCCTCCCCCCAAATATTGTTATTGTCTTTCTTTTATGTCTTTTTCTCTCTTAAAAAGCTTGTTCTGGGATAATCATCTATACGGTAACTAATGACACAAGCTCAATCATTTCATTTAAAAATTGTCTCTGAATCTTTACAAACTGTGATGTTTTTCAAAGATTTTCTAGAATCTTGCACTTTAAACAGTTTTTTTGGACTTAAAACAACTGGCTTATGGATATTTGTTGGCATGTAGCTGCTAAAAATCCACCATGTCTTCGAACTGTTAATATTTGAATTTTTTGCAAAAGCGCTTGTTTATTTCATAATTTTATGTCTTAAATCTTCCTCCCTGAGTCTGGGACATTTGAAATCACCGTCCTCCCTCTCTCCCTCGCACTTTCACGTGTCACAATATCAAACAAATTTTGGCCAGATTTGGAAGTTCAGAGGGCTTTTCTAACCAAATACAGACTCATTTTCTATGTAAATAAAATGTAAAAAAGCGTGGAGGTGTTCGTAACTGGATGTTGGTGAAATTTGGTGTAACTGTCACTTAAGAAGTAATTTAGATGCATCAGAACACTTTGTGAATCTGAGTCTAATCTCTTAAAGTGAAAGTTACAAACGTTTTTCCTGAAAAGATTCATGAATGAAGCCCATTATCTCCATGGAGACAAGCAAGTGGTGGAAAAGTTACACAAATGTGACTCTTGTGAACTTTTAGCCACGTTATAATGTTGTCACTTCCTCACAAACACACCTGGAGTTGTGTTTTGTCTTTCACACGTTTGAGTAACTCTTTATTATTAGTCTGTCTACGTCTGCAAAGCTCAAAACGCATAACCTTTACTTCAGTCAAGATTCTAGTGAAGGTATGTGTAGTTTAAAAACACAGTGGAGCACTTCTTAGATTACCACATGACATCACAAGGTGGAACAGAGTGTTTTTTACTGAGTGAAGAACTCAGCCTAAATCTGCAGGCTTTATGTGTTAAACATGTATGAAGTGAAAGAAAACTCAACCTCAGCTCTGTTTGTGACGAGGAAACGACATTAGAACAGATCAGAAAATGGAGTCATATATCTGAGCTTTAAAAACAAAACCTCCCTCATGGCGATCGAAATATACAGACTCAAATACACATCTTTAGCGCAGCCCAGAGACTTGTAAAGTCAATGTTTTGGAAGACTTCTCGAAATGATGTAATGAGACAGAACTCCAGCCGTTTACACAGAACCCACAGGAAAACAGACAGTGTCATAAAAACACAATATAACAGAGTAAAAGAGTCGGGGTCTGCAGCCAATCCTCTGTCAGGAAAAAACTTCAGGACTAAAAGAAACATTGGTCTGGAGCAGAGTTAAAAGGAAGAAATGATATATGTGCGTGTTTAATAGCAATGATTAAAAGTCTGTATTCATTATGTTCAGGAAAGTCAAATTGAAAGAAATTGTTTTTTGTTTTAGTAAGACAAAATAATGGGAATATAACAGCAAGCGACAATGAACAATGAGCCAGACACATCCCTGTTTGACTCCAGACATCAGACAAGATCAGGTGGTACGGCTGATATATGTAAATTCACTCACCCAACAGAACATTATGCTGACAATTTTTTTTTTTTTGTAATTACAGTAGATTTAATTTATACATGCAGTATATTTAAATGTGTAATCAATTCCTGTTTTACATTTTTGTCTCTATGAAACTATTTAAGACTAGTCCTCTAATATATTATACAAATGATACATGTTATACCTGTGGGTCTGGTCAAGTGGTAACGGAGGGAAACAGGGGCAGATTTTTGACATTCAAATGTCTCTTATTCAGAAACTAGAGGGAACTATTGAAATAAGTAAAGTATCAGAATGTAGGAAAGAGTTACACTCCAACAGGGTCAAGTTAAACCTGTGATATTCTTTCAAGTTGTTGACAAAAAAAATGTAAAAACTCATGTCGGTAACGGAGGGAATGAAATATGCAGCACTTTTTGGGCAATAAATCCAAACAGTGATAACTCTTGGTTCTCACTTCCATATCCTTAACAAACTGGTTTGAATATTTGCTTCATATAGTTTTCTACCATATGGTACAAGATTAGGTTGAAAAACCTCTTACTTTTTGACTCATGAGATTTTTTATTAAGAAAGGTCATGGTGACGGAGGGAAAAGTAACGGAGGGAAAATTGTGCAAACAAGTAGAAGGTGCAGGATTTTACATAAATTGTCGCTTTTTTCTTCTGAATACTTTAATATTACTTCAAAATGAAAGGAAACTATTTCTATAAAATATGTCAGTCCTTCCAAGCCAATTTTTATCATTTTAAATACTTTTTTTAAAAAAATCATGTACCTTCATCAACAGTTCAAAGATGGAATAACACAAGATATGATGAAATACATCCATTTATTTGACATGATTTTTGCAGGTCTTTGAAATTTGGGAAATAATTTTTGTTCCATGTTTCATTACATGGTCTGTTTAAAACATATGGAACTTTAGAACCAAAAATGGTACAGAAAAAAGGTCAACAGTTTCATAAACTAGAGTACATATGTATCTGTTCAATCCATTTTTATATCAGATGCATTAACTTGAATTTTTGGCCTTGTTGTTTACTTCTGCTTGACCAGGCCCCTGTAGCACTTTTGAATTTTGCACAATATATATTTTTTGTGTGCTGTATTTTTTATGTATTGGTTGTTTGGATTTGTACTATTTATATCTTCTATTATATTTAAACTTGAATAGCTTGTAACTAAAATTTGTCCAGCCTACATGTCCCATCATGCACCAGGGGACTGTGGTCCAGCCCACTGTGAACATGTGACCTACACCTATGACTTTAAATTTGCACTTTAACAGCCTCTCGAGTTTGCCCTGTTGAAGACTGAAGGACTGAAACACGTTGGCATAATCTGAACTTTATCTGCTGTGTGCTATTAAAGGACTTTCATTATTTTGTACTTTTTGAGTGCCTCAGTTTTTTCAACTT